CTCCTCTCCCCATGGGGAGGAGGAGAAAAAGCCCACACCTCCACGGTCTGTGATCTATATGAGCTCTTAATAACCTTCGGCATAAATGCCGGGTTAGGACGTAACACAGCTCTGCTCAAATCGCCATTAATGGCAAGGCAGTCGGGTCTCATCGAAAGAGCACACAAATCACTGATACGCTTAGCAGTAGTCAAAGCGAGCAACAGTGCCGTCTTCACAGACAGCATCTTGAGGGGAATTTTGATTCAATGGTTCGAACGGCGACTCACAGAGCGCTTCGAGTACCAGAGCCAAATCCCACTGAGGAAGCGTGGCTCTAGGCGTTAGCCTAAGCTGCCGTGTTCCTAAAAGGAAACGTTTCACCAGAGGGTGGCTGAAGACAGTGTCTCTGCCAAACCCCTCATGACAAGCCGAAATCGCCGCTGCAAAACCTTAATGGTGGCGGGCGAACGTTGCTTATCAAATAAACACTGTAGGAACAAGAGAACACTCTCAACCTGACAGCACACGGGGTCCAAATTTCTTGTGACACACCACTGTGAAAAGACGTTCCATTTGCTGGCATAAACCCTGGAAGTGGAACTGGCACGTGAACCCTGTATGGTCCTGATTACAGAATCAGATAACCTACGGCGCTCCAGCCTGTCCCTCTCAGGAGCCAAGCCTTGAGTGGTTGGCCGATTATGGGCAATTGCCCTATCGCACCTCCCGCCTGAGTCAACGCGTCCTGTTGATGTGGAATTGGCCAAGGTGGCGCAATCAACATCTGAATCATCTCCGCGAACCATGGAGCCCCTGGGCGATCGGGAGCCACCGATATGATTGACAGCCCGCCTGATCTCACCCTGGCTAACAGTGGGAGAATGCAGGACAGCGGTGGGAATACATACAGGAGAACTCTCGACCACGGTCGGTGCGCAAACGCGTCCCTCCCCAGTGGCGGTTCGTCCTGATCCCTTAGAGAAAACCATAGTTCACACGTGACGCGAATAGATCCATCTCGGCTCTCTCGAACTGTTCCCAAATTTGGAGAACAATGTTCGGGTGCAGACGCCACTCGTCGTCTCGAGTAGCCTGGAATGTGTGCTCTCAACGAGCGAAGGTGCTCGTGAGCCCACAGCCACAATTCTTCCGCCGACCGGTGGAGTGCAGGAGACCTGACTCCTCCCTGGCGATTTATGTAGGCTACTGTGGTCCGGTTGTCTGACCAGACCAACACATCGCGACCCCGAAGGGTAGACGCGAAGTGGGTCAGAACCAGTCGAACCGTTTCCAACTCCAAGAGGTTGATGTGGCGACTCGAAAGAGGCCACACACCTCCTATCGCTTGGGTCTGACATGTCCCTCCCCATCCAGTCAGAGACATCTGTAAACACTGGAATGTAGGAGGACACTTTGCCTATTGGGACGCCGTGCGTGAGAACGTGCGGGTCTCTCCAATAGTTCAGATCTGCACTGAGCGAGAGAGGAACCACCACCAACCGACGACGTTGACGCACTGGGTCTAGTCTTAGTTGGGCAAACCATCGCTGCATTCTGCGCATGCGCAGGAGTCCCAGCGGGACCACGAAATGGGCTGGGGGGGGGGGGACCCTCTCTCCTGCTGCTCGAAGCCGCCGTCTGGCGCCGGGCACGACGCCTCGCAGTAGAGCCTGCTCTATTAGAGGCGGTGGAGGTGGACTGTTTTGTAGTCGCGTGGCCTGCTCTCCCTGCCAGTGGCAGGTGTCTGGCCAGCTGCTTCCTCTCCTCGTCGAGCTTCGTGAAGCGCTCCGTCGCCTCTGACGGCGACTCCGAAGAGTCCGTCGTCAGAGAAGGGGGCGTTCAGAAGCGGCACTCTGTCTGCTTCTTTCATGGTTGTCAGTGACAGCCATAGGTGTCGCTCCGCGACCACCGAAGTGGCCATGGACCTCCTCGCGCAGACAGCTGACGCCTGTGTCAGGTGAAAAATAGCTTCAGAAATCCTGGACGCCTCTTCCACCTCCTCCCTGCCGAGCTCAGTCTTACCTGTGGTTAGACGGGACAGAGAGGCCGCTAGGAGGGCAATGTTATTCGCTGCTGCTACTGCTTGGGCCCCCAACGTAAAATACTTTTCCACCAGCTGTGCTGTGAAACGGTCTTTCTGCGTCGGCAGAGTGGCCTTCTTGGAAGAGGGCCAGGGACTCAAACCCCGCACGAGATACGCAGCCAGGGCGCTCTCTAGCCTGGGGATTCCCTTAGTGAAGCCCTGTTGCCTTCTCTCCACTCTGGTAAACAGGAGGTACGCCTTGGCCGGCAAACGCGCCGCCAGAGGTGCCTCCCATGAGCCCTCAACGTATTTTGAAAGGCTCCGCTGCCCTCCTTGGCCGAAAATAGGGGCCGCCTTCCATCATGTTCACATCCGGTCCGGAGGGAATGGGGGGCAGCGCTATCTCTAAACGTCTAGCAGCCCTCTCAATGAGCCCAGGAAAGTCTGGGCGCAGAGAGGCTGCAGCGAAGGACGGGGCTACTGATCTCTCAGAGCCTGTGTCGTCCTCGCCCAGGGAAGTACAAGACCTCTCACTCTCCAAAGGAAAGGGGGTCTTGAAGTTTTGGGTCAGAGGGACGGATTGTTCCATTGGAATATCCATCTCATCCCCATAATCCCTGTCTTTTCCAGAGTCGGCGTCTTCGGATGATGCCTCAGAAGCTGAGGCTAACACTGATAGCACGTCCTCTAAAGGGATATCCTCCCTAAAGAACGCCCAGCGCTGCTTCCTCTCCTTCAATGGAAGGAGGGCGAGGCTGGCGCAAATAGGGGGATCGCTGATGCCGTCCTTGGTGTGCTGTGAACCCAAACACACGAAACATAAGTCGTGGGAGTCCGCAGCCGCCATGGAGGCGCAGCGGCATTGAGCTCTGAAAAGAGCTTTTGGGGGTGGAAAACTTCCCGGTGTGCTCATTATCGGATGACGTCGAGAACTGGAAATCGACGGCGCTATCTTTGTCCTGATTCTTCGTCTCTTCTTGGCTTCTTCAGTCTAGTCCAGTCGCTGAAGATAATGGGAGGCTGATTGAGGGGAAGCGTCCCCTCGTATAGGGACACCTGTACTCCTATTGGCTGCAGGTGTGTGTATAATTTTGTCTCCGGCTGTTCGCTGCCTAGGCAGCGGGGTAAACCAATAGTGCTCCCCTATGGGGCAGAGCTCCACGATATAGAACAAGAGGATGAGCATGTTTCTCACTTTGCATTGAGGTGGGCTGGCTAAGGTGTGCTGTTTGAAAAAAAAATATTAGAGACTTGGGAAAGTTTGTTCAGTCAGTTTGTCTTGTTGATTTTGTTTGGTGGAAGAAAAAAAAACGCCACTAATGCTGTTGTGAAATTTCGTATTAATATTTGTGGGTATCAAATCAATTCTCAACAAAAGATGAATGAAGCTGCTAGAATGACGACACCATTTTGTATACATCTGGCCCTTCATTGGACACTGTGTTAACAAACCCTTAAACGAGCTTCAATGCCATACAACACTCCTTCAGTAGCCTCCAACTGCTCTTAAACACTAGTAAAACTAAATGCATGCTCTTCAACCGAACGCTGCTTGCACCCGCCCACCCGACTAGAATCACTACTCTCGACGGGTCTGACCTAGAGTATGTGGACAACTACAAATATCTAGGTGTCTGGTTAGACTGTAAACTCTCCTTCCAGACTCACATTAATAATCTCCAATCCAAAGTTAAATCTAGAATCGGTTTCCTATTTCGCAACAAAGCCTCCTTCACTCATGCTGCCAAACATGCCCTCGTAAAACTGACTATCCTACCGATCCTTGACTTCGGCGATGTCATTTACAAAATAGCCTCCAACACTCTACTCAGCAAATTGGATGTAGTCTATCACAGTGCCATCCGTTTTGTCTCCAAAGCCCCATATAATACCCACCACTGTGACCTGTACGCTCTTGTTGGCTGGTCCTCACTACATATTCGTCGCCAAACCCACTGGCTCCAGGCCATCTATAAATCACTGCTAGGAAAATCCCCGCCTTATCTTAGCTCATTGGTCACCATAGCAACACCCACCCGTAGTCTGCGCTCCAGCAGGTATATCTCACTGGTCATCCCCAAAGCCAACACCTCCTTTGGCCTTAATTCCTTCCAGTTCTCTGCTGCCAATGACTGGAACAAATTGCAAAAATCTCTGAAGCTGGAGACACTTATCTCCCTCACTAACTTTAAGCATCAGTTGTCAGAGCACCTTACCGATCACTGCACCTGTACACAGCCCATCTGAAATTAGCCCGCCCAACTACCTCATCCCTATATTGTTATTTATTTTGCTCATTTGTACCCCAGTATCTCTATTTGCACATCATCTCTTGCACATCTATCATTCCAGTGTTGATACTAATTGTAATTATTTTGCACTATAGTCTATTTATTGCCTTACCTCCATAACTTGCTACATTTGCACACACTGTATATATATGTATTTCTGTTGTATTTTTGACTTTGTTTTGTTTTACCCCATATGTAACTCTGTGTTGTTGTTTTTATCGCACTGCTTTGCTTTATCTTGGCCAGGTCGCAGTTGTAAATGAGAACTTGTTCTCAACTGGTTTACCTGGTTAAATAAAGGTTAAATAAAAATAAATAAAATAAAATAGAATCAAGGGCGTATATAAGCGTGTATTTACGGTATTTCACGGCCCGCCCAACCTCGTCAGCTGTCCGGAACTAATCGGAAGAAAACTTCCGGAGGAGGTGAAGAGGTGTGAAAAGGTGAAGCCACCATCTGATAACAAAGAAGATGTTCCTTGATGTAGCCTTCTCTCCTCACATCACAGTAGGATCAAATTAGATCGTTTGTTGCAGTCTACTTGGTAACCATGTCTCACGAACTCGCTTTTCGTTGTCGTGTTACCTCCATTATGGAAGCTTTGACAGCAACAGTCGTGCAAGAAATCTGTCAATTTATGGGAGAAAGCTATGCTGCCCTTCGAGTGGAAATGTTGCATGAACAAAATAAAAAAGAGACAAGGATGGAGAAGGCAGCGAATTGCCTTGAGAACGTTTCTAAACCTGGTGAGATGTTGACATTTAGCTATTTAGTGTACAACACACATTTTAGCGTCTGGTTTACATCCATGGTTTAACACGCAATAACACCAGAGTGTTATACCACCACTATAACGGTGTCGGTAAAAAAATAAAATGCTGTACAGTATAAAATCATTAATGCGTCTATTTTCATTATTTGTATGTTAGTTAGCCCACGAAGTTTGGGAAACTTTCCAGTCGTGGGGAAAATCCTCAATAAACAAGAGGCCAACTATCATTGGCTAGAAGACGGTGCTGTTTTTGAAGGTCTAGCATCACCGGTGCCAGAGGCGGAGAGACGAGAGCCATCACAGCCCTCTGGTCAGATTACAGACACGGTAAATTCAGGCTAGGTTTGGCCACCTACTTTGTAAGGGAGGACAACCACAGAAGATGTTTGTGTTGTTGATGCAGCCCCAACATAACGGGCTGTAGTTTAGGACAATGTTAATCAATAATGACATTGTCTTTTGGAAGGTACCATGGCCAGTATGGCTCATCAAACAGGAGGATATGGCTGATGATGATCAGGAAAAGGAAGGTCAGTTGAACTATTTTCAATAACGATTTAAAGGCTTATTTCCCTTGTAGTAGATTGTGTATTTTTCAGAATTCTATAAATTATTTATTTTTGTAATAATAATGTACTTTTCAAATGTTTGTTCATTCCAAAAACAACGTATAAATCCAAACAACAACTTAGACACAAACAATGACTACATCTCATCTACCCAGACCTGCATGCTCACACCCCCATCCCTACTGCCTGCATTATTGTTTGCCACTTGGCCTTAAATTGTACCAATTTGTTTTTCTCGGTCGCCCATGATATTTCACTATTTGTCAATGCTGTCGGATTGATTGACCTCTATGTTTTAAGTATACCTTTTTTCAAGATGAGTGATGAGAAGAGAATTGTCTAGCCCATTGGCTATCTCACTACACCCCCATATGACATGTCTTGAAATATGCAGACAGACCGATTTTAAAAGTAAGTTTACATTGTCTGTAGCTCAGCTGGTAGAGCACGGCGCTTGTAACGCCAAGGTAGTGGGTTCGATCCCCGGGACCACCCATACACAAAAATGTATGCACGCATGACTGTAAGTCGCTTTGGATAAAAGCGTCTGCTAAATGGCATATTATTTATTGTAATACTTCTGAAAGCCAACTTTCTAGCTCCGCCCACAACTTCCGGACATTATAGCATTTCCAGAAAGCATGGATTATTGAGTCATTATTCGTTTTACACTTAAGACATGACTCTGCTGTTGTGCTGTAGAATTTGTGAATTTTGTCAATTGTGTAGTAAATTCTATACATTAGTTTATACTGGATTAAGCGTACATTTTCGTTAACTGTAATTTTCCATCTTGTACCAACACCAGTTATTTTTTAAATCTTGGTTCCAATAGTTTGTATTTTTTTCTAAGAGGTTGTCAGTTGGATATGCTCTCTGCATTCTATCAAACATGAAGACAAGACGCAAATTAATGTGGTATTTTTTTAGATTTTGCACTTGTTAAGACCATGACAAAGTAAACTATCCCTTTAATGGCTCACCGTAAAGCCAACTCTGACATTCATTGTTGGTGACTTCCTTTCCAGATTACGGCGAGTTGATTCCAGAGACTCACAAGGCCAACCAGAATATCACAGGAGAAAGTGATGAGGAAGAGAGAAGTCAAGCCTCTGGGGGATCCAAAGAACTTGGACTCAAGGACTTCAAGAGAGAAGTTCAAGAGAGTCCGTTGCTGGTGTCAACTGAGGATGCTGCAGCACCCATAAAGATGAAGTATAAAACGAGCATGTTTGAACACACTGGGAAGCCACTCTTTCGCTGCGATATCTGTGGTGAGAAATTCCAGCGTCAGAGCGGCTTGACAAGGCACCAACGGCACAAACACAACACTGTGGAAACCTACAGTTGCTATGTGTGTGGGAAAGGGTTCACCTACATCAAATCCCTCAACACGCATGAGCTCACGCACTCCGACGTCTCTATCAGTTCTACTGTAACTCTTGATGAAGCCAAGGCAAGGAAAAGACATCTGACTGATGAACCCACAGACAGAAATGCAGCGAGAGATGTGAGTCGTGTAAAATGTTGCTGTTAGCTCCACTACTAGTGTGTTAGTGATAACTCTTTAAAACACATTTAGCTGTTTCTACTCCACCTATTTACATAGCCTTGTCTTCTTGCCCATTACCAGTACCTTGAAGATGCATGACTGATCACACGGCTTCTATTGTTTTTATGTGGTTTTTCTAGATGATCAGTGCCATCCTTCACTCAAAGCCAGGTGGAGAAAAGGTATTCCAGGAGTATTTGAAAACCAAAGGTCTTACGGATAGCACACGGAGACTGATGGTGAACATTATTGTGGCCGATATGATGGAAAATCATGGGTACGTGAATAATTCAATGTGTTAGAACTGTATGCTGACAAAAGCTGTATTACATTTAACAGTGCATGATTTTAGTCAAACTTGAAGGTATGAGTCACCCCAAAATGAAAGTCTGTTAGATGATTTTATACCTTAAAAGTAGACTACTGTCAATGTACTGTATGTCCACATCCCACACCGTTGTTTGGTAGATAATGCATTTCTCAATCCAAAAGGAACGGAAGATTGGGGGGGTCCCCAGAACCATCCCTCAGCTTTAGATCAAAATGTGGTGGGGCTGCAGTTTTGCTGAGAAATAAATCACTGATGGTCGCTTTTACTAGAATTGTAGTTACTTTTTATTTAATCTTACTCAAAGTAGGATCCCCCCATCAAGAGTCCGCACCAACTACGCCCTGGGGATTGTGACTTTATTCCCCTACTTGAATGATCCAGATTCAGAGCATGGCTATGTAAGTATGAACGTAGGACTGAATTCCCTCTCAGGGGATACCAGACCTAGAGTTCCATTTTGAACTGTTTTCTTTTCGATTGATAGGAACAATATTACGATGCAGCTAGTGGGTCTGGTTACCTGACTTGGAGAATAAAGACAGTGGGACGCAACAAATCATGTAAGATCAAGAAGAGAACCAAGTCCACCTATCAAAATGGTCCCAAAGGCTCAACAAAGTTCCCCTTCAGCTGTTGAGCAACTGTCAGGTGATGAATGCAGAGGTACAGCGAAGTTCCCTTCAGCACTGTATTATCCCAATTCTTTGCTAAAGGGATAGTCCATCAAAAATATCCACATCTTATTTTCACTCATCTATTATCAGTTGATCGAGACATTTGGTAAATCATTGTCAGATTGTTTTTGTAATGTCCATCAGATTCTAGTTAGAGCATTTTAGCAATACTAGTGGTAATGGTAGGATTTTTTTGCTGAATTTTCCCTGAAAGTTGCATCTTTGTAATCTTTCAGATGAACAAGTGTCCATGTCTGAGGTGTCTATCTGCTCAGTTGGGTCTGATTCGTCTGGATCAACTGTCATTCTGGAAAAAACCAAGGCAAGAAAAAGACGTCTGACTGATGAACCCACAGACAGAAATGCAGCGAGAGATGTGAGTCGTGTAAAATGTTGCTGTTAGCTCCACTACTAGTGTGTTAGTGATAACTCTTTAAAACACATTTAGCTGTTTCTACTCCACCTATTTACATAGCCTTGTCTTCTTGCCCATTACCAGTACCTTGAAGATGCATGACTGATCACACGGCTTCTATTGTTTTTATGTGGTTTTTCTAGATGATCAGTGCCATCCTTCACTCAAAGCCAGGTGGAGAAAAGGTATTCCAGGAGTATTTGAAAACCAAAGGTCTTACGGATAGCACACGGAGACTGATGGTGAACATTATTGTGGCCGATATGATGGAAAATCATGGGTACGTGAATAATTCAATGTGTTGGAACTGTGTGATGACAAAAGCTGTATTACATTTTAACAGTGCATGATTTTAGTCAAAATATATACACTACCAGTCAAATGTTTTAGAACACCTACTCATTCAAGGGTTTTTCTTCATTTTTCTACATTGTAGAATAATAGTGAAGACATCAAAACTATGAAATAACACATGGAATCATGTAGTAACTAAAAAAAGTGTTAAATAAATCAAAATATATTTTATATTTGAGATTCTTCAAATAGCCACCCTTTGCCTTGATGACAGCTTTGCACACTCTTGGCATTCTATCAACCAGCTTCACCTGGAATGCTTTTCCAACAGTCTTGAAGGAGTTCCCACATATGCTTAGCACTTGTTGGCTGCTTTTCCTTCACTCTGCAGTCCGACTCATCCCAAACCATCTCAATTTGGTTGAGGTCGGGGGATTGTGGAGGCCAGGTCATCTGATGCAGCACTCCATCACTCTCCTTCTTGGTAAAATAGCCCTTACACAGCCTGGAGGTGTGTTGGGTCATTGTCCTGTTGAAAAACAAATGATAGTCCCACTAAGCCCAAACCAGATGTGATGCCGTATTGCTGCAGAATGCTGTGGTAGCCATACTGGTTAAATGTGCCTTGAATTCTAAATGAATAACAGACGGTGTCACCAGCAAAGCATTCCCACATCATAACACCTCCTCCTCCATGCTTTACTATGGGAAATACACATGCGGAGATCATCCGTTCACCCACACCACATCTCACAAAGACACAGCGGTTGGAATAAAAATCTCAAATTTGGACTCCAGACCAAAGGACAAATTTCCACTGGTCTAATGTCCATTGCGCGTGTTTCTTGGCCCAAGCAAGTCTCTTCTTCTTATTGGTGTCCTTTAGTAGTGGTTTCTTTGCAGCAATTCGACCATGAAGGCCTGATTCACACAGTCTCCTCTGAACAGTTGATGTTGAGATGTGTCTGTTAATTGAATTCTGAAGCATTTATTTGGGCTGCAATTTCTGAGGCTGGTAACTACTGAACTTATCCTCTGCAGCAGAGGTAACTCTGGGTCTTCCATTCCTGTGGCGGTCCTCATGAGAGCAAGTTTCATCATAGCGCTTGATGGTTTTTGCGACTCCACTTGAAGAAACTTTAAAAGTTATTGAAATGTTCCGTATTGACTGACCTTCATGTCTTAAAGTAATGATGGACTGTCGTTTTTCTTTGCTTATTTGAGCTGTTCTTGCCATAATATGGACTAGGTCTTTCACCAAATAGGGATATCTTCTGTATACCCCCCTACCTTGTCATAACACAACTGATTGTCTCAAATGCATTAAGAAGGAAAGAAATTCCACAAATTAACTTTTAAGAAGGCACTCCTGTTAATTGAAATGCATTCCAGGTGACTACCTCATGAAGCTGGTTGAGAGAATGCCAAGAGTGTGCAAAGCTGTCATCAAGGCAAAGGGTGACTATTTGAAGAATCTCAAATCTCAACTATATTTTGATTTGTTTAACACTTTTTTGGTTACTACATGATTCATTATGTGTTATTTCATAGTTTTGATGTCTTCACTATTATTCTACAATGTAGAAAATAGTACAAATAAAGAGAAATCCTTGAATGAGTAGGTGTTCTAAAACTTTTGACCAGTTGTGTGTGTGTGTATATATATATATATATATATTGGGGAGAAAATGGGGTAAAAGTGTGTATGTGTTTTTATATATATACACACTTTTACCCCCTTTTCTCCCCAATTTCGTGATCCAATTGGTAGTTAGTCTTGTCCCATCGCTGCAACTCCCCTACGGACTCGGGAGAGGCAAAGGTCGAGAGCCATGCGTCCTCCGAAACCTGACCCTGCCAAGCCGCACTGCTTCTTTTAACACTGCTCACTTAACCCAGAAGCCAGCCGCACCAATGTGTCGGAGGAAACACCATCCAGCTGGCGACCGAAGTCAGCTTGTAGGCGCCCAGCCCGCCACAAGGAGTCGTTAGAGCGCAATGGGATAAGGAAATCCCGGCCGGCCAAACCCTCCCCTAACCCGGACTATGCTGGGCCAATTGTGCGCCGCCTCATGGGTCTCCCGGTCATGGCCGGCTGTTGACACAGCCTGGGATCGAACCCGGGTCTGTAGCGATGCAGTGCCTTAGACCACTGTGCCACTCGGGAGGCCCGATTTCAGTCAAATTTAGAGTACCTGTCTGTTCATACTGGGGGGTTTCCCCAGCACATTCCGTCAGCTTTAGACCAAACCATGTGGCAGGGCTGGCTGCAGTTTTGCTGAGAAATGTATCAGTGATGGCTTTTACCATAATTGTTTTAATTAAATGAACTTCAAATTCAAATAACTTTTATTTCCTGAGGGAACTTCATATGTACTGATGGGGGATTCATACAAGACACATTACAACATAAAACACTATATATTTTTTTTATTAAGTTAATGTTTTTATAGTATTTTTATTTATTTATCTTCCTCAAAGGAGGATCCCCCCATCAAGAGTCCGCACCAACTACGCCCTGGGGATTGTGACTTTATTCCCCTCGTTGAATGATCCAGATTCAGAGCATGGCTATGTAAGTATGAACGTAGGACTGAATTCCCTCTCAGGGGATACCATGCCTAGAGTTCCAGGATATTAAATGGTTGTTGATCATTTTTAACTGTTCTTTTTGATTGACAGGAAAAATATTACGATGCAGCTAGTGGGTCTGGTTACCTGACCTGGAGAATAAAGACAGTGGGACGCAACACATCATGTAAGATGAAGAAGAGAACCAAGCCCACCTATCAAAATGGTCCCAAGGCTCAGCGAAGTTGCCCTTCAGCTGTTGAGCAACTGTCGGGGGATGAATGCAGAGAGGCGATATCTGCGCTTCAGCATACAACTAATGAGTCACTGGTTAAAGAGAAGATGATGGCGACGTACCAATACAGACAGGAGATGGTTCATGATCCGGAGAAGTCCTCAACTGTCCTAGATGTCTTCCCAAGATTCCTTGACACTACAGGCTTGGTAAGACTGGATGACTAGAATTCATAATGTTTTGGTGATTTTAAAAGAAAGTGGAAAGATAATCAATCTTGTGAGAAAACAAATATTGAATGTATTTCAGATCGACCAAGATTTCACCATGCTTTTCGGAGAGGTGGTGTCTGGGACATTTTTGGCGAAGTGGCCAACTTTCTTCAAACCCAGGGTCATCGCAGACTGTAAAACCCTTCCCTCCAGCGAACCTGTGGAAGACCTCCTCTCATCTGCACAGCAGGAATCCAATGATTATGGTATTAGTGCAAATATATTGTCTTTGGTATTACCAATGACATTTTTAACTTGACCATACAATGTCTGAGTGAGACTGGCATGTGAACTTCTACTGAGCATTTCTTGTTCTTGTTTTCTATTGAAACAATTAGGATGGGAGAGTGACTTGGCAGCCATTTTGTTGCTTCTGCATCTCCTACCCCCGACCTCAAAGGGCCCGAAGACCGCAAAGATCCGTACCTCTCAAGCTGCTGACCATTTGGTTAGATTTATGAAGGTTTGTTGTATGTTCTGTGATCATTGTGCCCTTCTCCTTCCCTTAGTACAGTACTTGTTAACAATATACACAGCTCCTGTTAGCCCCTCCCCTGCCGCTTTCTTTAGGACAGTTTTACATATGGTCTCAGAGGTGTAGGCAAATTCAATTACGTTCCATGTAAATTGGATAACCATCCATTTTATGAAACTCTTGAGTGCATATTTGAGTGGAAAATATAGTTAAGCTAAACCTTCATCGCTAGGTTGCTTAGATGAAGATGAAGATCACTTTATCGGTCAATTGCACACAAGGTCCAACCGGAATTTGACTTCCGCTTTTAACCCAACCCCGCCGAAAGACACATGCATATAGAGGTTTTGGAGAGGTGCGGGGGGCTGCCACACTGGGTGCCTGGGGAGCTGCTGTTGTGGGAAGTTAAGTGCCTTGCTCATGGGCACAACGGAAGGCAATGGCATCTAGAATTTGATACCAGTAGCCCTCTGGTTGCCAGCTTACTACCTGACAGATTTTTCCCATCGGACCCAGGATTGGAACTGGCAACCCTCCGCTTGCTTGCTCACCTCTAACCGCTAGGTCAGTGTTTCCCAACTCCAGGACCCCCAACAGCCCACACTTTTTTTTTTTTTTTTTTCATCCCTGACAAACTCACTTGATTCAGCTTAACGAGGGCTTGATGATTAGTTGACACGTTTCAGGTGTGCTTGTCCAGGGCTACAATAAAATGTGTACTGTTGGGGGTACTGGAGGACTGGAGTTGGGAAACACTGCGCTAGGCTACCTGCCTAGTGGTCATGTGGTCTGCCTTCAGGATTGTGGAACACGTTATTTACTGTTGTGTCTTGTGTTCTCTTTTCCTCAGGTGGGGACCAGTATGGCGACCTTCCTTGAGACAGTTGGCTGTGAGCAGCAGCCCTTCCTCCTCTGTGTCGGTGAAAGGAAGAACATCCTCCAGAGGTTTTACATCGTCGTTGACCAGAAGGCCATCCCATGCAAGGCCCAAACATCAGTGGCAGCTTTTGATGAGCTCTTTAAGGCACACTATGTCTTCAGTGTGTCCTACCATGAAGCTTTGTGCAACTTCTACACATTCATCCAGACCACCGTGTACGGTATCGACGTGGGGAAGGCAAAGGAGTCGTCAAGAGTCAAGGAGATTAGAGTAAGGCTGCTTAACAAAGACCAGGGGTGTAGTGCTGCCGGAGCGCAAGGGAGCGGCACTCCCACACTTCTTTCAATTTGACAATATAAGAAGCTGGTAAAAATATTTCCGGAAAATGATTTCTAAAGCTGAATCAATGTCCAGCAAGATCACATAATGATGAATTTGTATTTTACATAACAGAACTGCAGTAGGCATATAATAATGTTACTGTTACACCAAAAAAAACAAAATTTCTAGTGAGATTTCAGGATGTTTAGCTGAAGCTGAATAGTCCCATTGTTCTAATGCGGCCAGAACTCAACAGCTTGTGCCACTAGGCAGGATATGTGCTTTGATTGAAACAAAATACAAGAAAGGCTATTAGCTTAACACCATCTGCTCTAATTCACTCACAAAACAGTAATGGCCTATTTTTAAATTAGATATGCCTAACTTGGTGTTTGAGGGTGTTACAAATACAGCTCTGGAAAAAATTAAGAGACCACTGCACATTTTTCTTAAATCATCATCTCTACATGTATGACAGCCATTCCATTCCAGTGTCTGTTGAATTCCAACACAGGCACACCTCATTCTACTGAAATAGGTACTGATTAGGTGATCACCTGAACCAAATCTTATTTAACGAGGAAAAGTATAAAAACCACTGCTGTGGTCATCACTATCCTCTTGCAATAGGACCAGCTGGATGGCAAAAACAATGCTAATAGGACCTCAAAAGTAATATTAAATCAGAAAATTACTATTGACCATGCCAAAAGAGTTGAAAATGAAAGTTTTGAGTGTGGAAAAGAAGGGTTCAATTCTGGCTTTACTGGCAGAGGGATACAGTGAGCATCAGGTTGCTTCCATCCTTAAAATGTCAAAGACGGCGGTTCATAAGAACAAGGTCAAGCAGCAGACATTGGGGACAACAAAGCTACAGACCGGCAGAGGGCGAAAACGACTCTCTACTGACCGGGATGACCGCCAACTAATTCGAATGTCACTCAACAACCGTAGGATGACATCAAGTGACCTACAATAATAATGGCAAACGGCAGTTGGGGTGAAGTGCACGGCGAGGACTGTTCGAAACAGGCTCCTAGGGGCAGGGCTGAAGTTGTGCAAAGCTAGAAAAAAGCCCTTCATCAATTGTCCTGGAAGAAAATGTGCTTCCTTTTGCTCTGACATTGTTCCCCAACTCTGAGGATTGGTTTTTCCAGCAGGACAATGCGCCATGCCACACAGCCAGGTCAATCAAGGTGTGGATGGAGGACCACCAGATCAAGACCCTGTCATGGCCAGCCCAATCTCCAGACCTGAACCCCATTGAAAACTTCTGGAATGTGATCAAGAGGAAGATGGATGGTCACAAGCCATCAAACAAAGCCGAGCTGCTTGAATTTTTGCGCCAGGAGTGGCATAAAGTCACCCAACATCAATGTGAAAGACTGGTGGAGAGCATGCCAAGATGCATGAAAGCTGTGATTGAAAATCAGGGTTATTCCACCAAATATTGATTTCTGAACTCTTCCTAAGTTAAGACATTACTATTGTGTTGTTAAAAAATTAACATGAATTTATTTTCTTTGCATTATTCGAGGTCTGACAACACTGCATATTTTTTGTTATTTTGACCAGTTGTCATTTTCTGCAAATACAGTGAGGGGAAAAAAGTATTTGATCCCCTGCTGATTTTGTACGTTTGCCCACTGACAAAGAAATGATCAGTCTATAATTTTAATGGTAGGTTTATTTGAACAGTGAGAGACAGAATAACAACCAAAAAATCCAGAAAAACGCATGTAAAAAATGTTAGAAATTGATTTACATTTTAATGAGGGAAATAAGTATTTGACCCCTCTGCAAAACATTACTTAGTACTTGGTGGCAAAACCCTTGTTGGCAATCACAGAGGTCAGACGTTTCTTGTAGTTGGCCACCAGGTTTGCACACATCTCAGGAGGGATTTTGTCCCACTCCTCTTTGCAGATCTTCTCCAAGTCATTAAGGTTTCGAGGCTGACGTTTGGCAACTCGAACCTTCAGCTCCCTCCACAGATTTTCTATGGGATTAAGGTCTGGAGACTGGCTAGGCCACTCCAGGACCTTAATGTGCTTCTTCTTGAGCCACTCCTTTGTTGCCTTGGCTGTGTGTTTTGGGTCATTGTCATGCTGGAATACCCATCCACGACCCATTTTCAATGCCCTGGCTGATGGAAGGAGGTTCTCACCCAAGATTTGACGGTACATGGCCCTGTCCATCGTCCCTTTGATGCGGTGAAGTTGTCCTGTCCCCTTAGCAGAAAAACACCCCCAAAGCATAATGTTTCCACCTCCATGTTTGACGGTGGGGATGGTGTTCTTGGGGTCATTGGCAGCATTCCTCCTCCTCCAAACACGGCGAGTTGAGTTGATGCCAAAGAGCTCGATTTTGGTCTCATCTGACCACAACACTTTCACCCAGTTCTCCTCTGAATCATTCAGATGTTCATTGGCAAACTTCAGACGGGCATGTATATGTGCTTTCTTGAGCAGGGGGACATTGCGGGCGCTGCAGGATTTCAGTCCTTCACGGCGTAGTGTGTTACCAATTGTTTTCTTAGTGACTATGGTCCCAGCTGCCTTGAGATCATTGACAAGATCCTCCCGTGTAGTTCTGGGCTGATTCCTCACCGTTCTCATGATCATTGCAACTCCACGAGGTGAGATCTTAAATGGAGCCCCAGGCCAAGGGAGATTGACAGTTCTTTTGTGTTTCTTCCATTTGCTAATAATCGCACCAACTGTTGTCACCTTCTCACCAAGCTGCTTGGCGATGGTCTTGTAGCCCATTCCATTCTTGTGTAGGTCTACAATCTTGTCCCTGACATCCTTGGAGAGCTCTTTGGTCTTGGCCATGGTGGAGAGTTTGGAATCTGATTTGATTGTTTGCTTCTGTGGACAGGTGTCTTTTATAAGGTAACAAACTGAGATTAGGAGCACTCCCTTTAAGAGTGTGCTCCTAATCTCAGCTCGTTACCTGTATAAAAGACCCCTGGGAGCCAGACATCTTTCTGATTGAGAGGGGGTCAAATACTTATTTCCCTCATTAAAATGCAAATCAATTTATAACATTTTTGACATGCGTTTTTCTGGATTTTTTTGTTGTTATTCTGTCTCTCACTGTTCAAATAAATCTACCATTAAAATTATAGACTGATCATTTCTTTGTCAGTGTGCAAACGTACAAAATCAGCAGGGGATCAAATACTTTTTTCCCTCACTGTAAATGCTCTAAATGACAAATTTTTATTTGGAATTTGGGAGAAATGTTGTCAGTAGTTTATAGAATAAAACAACAATGTTAATTTCACCCAAACACATATCTATAAATAGTAAAACCAGAGAAAGTTATATTTTTGCAGTGGTCTCTTAATTTTTTCCAGAGCTGTATAACATTTTTGTGAGAGTGTGGGCATAGAGCAGATGTTGCAATTGGAGAATGCATTTAATGCATATTGTATTATAACATTCAATAGGTTACATCTGTCAGTACAAACTTTGATTGTGAAATTATGTAATTCACTTTTTGGGGGTCAGCTCCCGCACCTAAAAAAACAATACGGCTCTAAACCACTTACAAAGACACTTGAATTGAGAAACAACAGTGTTTACATGTTTTATTTCTAAAACACACTACAGCAGTCGTGCATTGCTTTTTCGACATATGAAGTTTCATCATGGTTTGTCAATAAAACGTATTTGAATCTGGACAGCAACTGTTGTAAAAGTAAAGTAAATCTACACCGGACAAATATAAATACAACATGCAACAATTTCAAAGATTTTACTGAGTTACAGTTCATATAAGGAAATCAGTCAATTGAAATAAATTCATTAGGCCCTAATCTATGGATTTCACATGACTGGGAATACAGATATGCATCTATTTACATTTAGTAGACGCTCTTATCCAGAGCGACTTTTTTTCTTCCATTTTTCATACTGGCCCCCCTTGGGAAACAAACCCACATCCTTGCCGGCCAAACCCTACCCTACCTTGGACGACAATGGACCAATTGTACGCCGCCCATGGATCTCCTGGTCGCAGATGGCTACAACAGAGCCTGGATTCGAACCAGGATCTCTAGTGGCACAGCTAGCACTGTGATGCAGTGCCTTAGACCACTGCGCCACTCTGATGTTCAGGTACCTTAAAAAAAAGGTAGGGGCGTGGATCAGAAAACCAGTAAGTATCTGGTGTGACCACCATTTGCCTAATGCAGCGAGACACATCTCCTTCGCATAGAGTTGATCAGGCTGTTGAATGTTGTCCCACTCCTCTTCAATGGCTGTGCGAAGTTGCTGGATATTGGCGGGAACTGGAACACGCTGTCTTACACGTCGATCCAGAGCATCCCAAACATGCTCAATGGGTGACATGTCTGGTGAGTATGCAGGCCATGGAAGAACTGGGACCTTTTCAGCTTCCAGGAATTGTGTGCAGATCCTTGCGACATGGGGCCGTGCATTATCATGCTGAAACATGAGATGATGGTGGCGGATGAATGGCACGACAATGGGCCTCAGGATCTCGTCACAATATCTCTGCATTCAAATTGCTCGTTGTCTGTAGTTTATGCCTGCCCATACCATAACCCTCACCGCCACCATGGGCCACTGTTATCAACATTGACATCAGCAAACCACTCGCCCACATGACGCCATACACGCTATCTGCCAGGTACAGTTGAAACCGTGATTCATCTTTGAAGAGCACACTCCTCCAGTGTGCCAGTGGCCATCGAAGGTGAGCATTTGCCCACTGAAGTCGGTTACCTCGCAGAACTGCAGTCAGGTCAAGACCCTAGTGAGGACGACAAGCACGCAGATGAGCTTCCCTGAGATGGTTTCTGACAATTTGTGCAGAAATTCTTCAGTTGTGCAAACCCACAGTTTCATCAGCTGTTCGGGTGACTGGTCACAGACAATCCCGCAGGTGAAGAAGCTGGTTGTGTAGGTCCTGGGCTGGTGTGGTTACATGTGGTCTGCGGTTTTGTGTTCAGTTGGATGTACTGCCAAATTCTCTAAAATGACGTGGGAAGGCAGTTTATGGTAGAGAAATTAACATTCAATTATCTGGCAACAGCTCTGGTGGACATTCCTGGAGTCAGCATGCCAATTGCATGCTCCCTTAAAACATCTGTTGCATTGTGTTGTAACAACACTACACATTTTAGAGTTAACTTTTGTCCTCAGCACAAGGTGTACCTACAGGACACCTACAGCACCCGATGTCACAGGAAGGCCAAATCAAGGACATCAACCACCCAAACCACTGCCTGTTCACCCTGCTATCATCCAGAAGGTGAGGTCATTACAGGTGCATCAAAGCTGGGCCATTAGACTGTTAAATAGCCATCACTAGCACATTAGAGGCTGCTGCTGCCTATTGAAATCACTGGCCACTTAAAGAAATAGAACACTAGTCACTTTAATAATGTTTACATATCTTGCACTACTCATCTCATATGTATATACTGTATTCTATAATATTCTACTGTATCTTCGTCCATGCTGCTCAGTCATTGCTTGTCCATATATGTATATATTCTTAAATTCAATTCCTTACTAGATTTGTGTGTATTGGGTATATGTTGTGAAATTGTTAGATATTACTTGTTAGATATTACTGCACTGTCGGAGCTAGAAGCACAAGCATTTTGCTACACCCGCAATAACATCTGCTAAACACGTATGTGACAAATACATTTTGATTTGACCTGAGTAATGATAACGCTGTTTAATCGGCTTTTTGATATGCCACACCTGTCAGGTGGATGTATTATCTTGGCAAAGGAGAAATGCTCACTAACAGGGACGTAAACAAAATTGTGGACAATTTGAGAGGAATTATCTTTTTGGAAAAGCTGGAACTTTTCTGGGATTTTTTATTTCAGCTCATGAAATATGGAACACTTTACATGTTGCGTTATATTTTTGTTCAGTATAAATGATGGAATTGAGATTATTCTGATTTAAATCAGTAATTTTATTGTATTATTTTGTATATACAACACAAATATTGCGGGAAAATGGAGGCCGATAAAGGTCGTCACTAGTTACCACAGCCGCAAAGTCATAAATCCCGCCTATTTCTACTATTTGTTCTTAAAATTGTATTTTAACCCGAATCTTACCTACACTGCTAACCTTAAATTATAACCAAAAAGCACATTTTTTGTTTTAATAAATTTGTACAATATAGCCAATTATGACTTTGGCTGTGGTAACTAGTGACAACCGCACATAAACGAGTATTTACGGTAAATCACCAGCGCAACCTCGTCAGCTGTCCGGAACGAAACGGCCAACACCAACTCAATTGCGCCGTTAGTAGTTAATTTCCCATTTCTCTCACGGGCACACGCATAAACTCCTGTAGCCTATTTGTGTAGCCATGTCTTTCGAACTCGCTTTTCGTTGTCGTGTTGCCTCCATTATGGAAACTTTGACAGCAACAGCCTTGCAAGACATCTGCCAACTTATGGGCGAAACGTATGCTGCTCTTCGAGTGGAAATGGTGCATGAACAAAACCAAAGTTCGAGGACAAAATTGCAGGCGATGGAGAATGGGACAGGGGTGGAGAATCCAGCGAATTGCATGGAGCGCATTCAAAAACTCAGTGAGATAAAATATTTAACGATAGTTATGCCTATATGCTAATTGTCTGTATAGGAAGCGGGGATAGATATACAATAGCTAGCTATATCGCCTAGCTAGCTAGCAGTCGCCTTTCTATGAAAATCCGATAGTGATATTATTCATGACGTCACCTGATCCTCCACGTCAGGAATAACTACGCCCTCTAGGGGTTTCTGCGCTACAGTAGCGCTACAGTAGGCCTATTGCTTTGCTCCAATGTCTGCTTGGCTTGACAAATACAATCTATTTCTCTGATAAGTCTATACCATCATGAGTGATGATGGCATATTTCCACTACATGTTTTTGTGAAGTTTCAGCATCGTATAACAAATATTTTCAGATTCTCAAGCTTTATGTGTGTTAGCTTCCCCGCCAGGTTTGAGAAACTTCCCAGTTGTCGAACAAATCCTCAATGAACAAGAGGCCAATGGTCTTTGGCTTGAAGGTGTTCCTACTGTGGAAGACGAAGGTCCACCATCACTGGTACCAGAGGAAGATCCATCACAGCCTCTTGGTCAGACAACAGACATGGTGAGTTGAGTTTGTTGATTTTGTAAAGGTAGATGCAGGTAACTGCCAAAATAAAGGAAACACCAACATAAAGTGTCTTAATAGGGTGTTGGGCCACCAGAAGATATTCAATGCGCTTGGAATAGATTCTACAAGTGTCTGGAACTCTATTGGAGGGATGCAACATTTTCCCATGAGAAATTACATATTTGGTGTTTAGTTGATAGTGGTGGAAAATGCTGTCTCGGGTGCCGCTCCAGAATCACCCATAAGTGTTAAATTGGGTCGAGTTCTGGTGACTGACACACACACACCCTTTAAACCCCCTATGCTCCTTTGAGACCCCTCTTTCAAAGTCACTGAGATCTCTTCTTCTAAACATGGTAGCCAAAATAATGGGCAACTGGGCATTTTTATACATGACCCTAAGTATGATGGGATGGTAACAGGGCCTAAAATTAACTTTTTGGTCCACCAGCCACTGTGTAAAGTAGATTTAAAAATCTACCAGCCACTCAGATTTTGTACCAGCCAAAATATTCTCTCTAAAATTACACCAACAAAACACAAACATGGATGAGCATGCTTTAATGTTTCTGAAACAAATGTATTACTAGTAAGACGTATTGTGGTATATTGTTTAATAATTTTTTTTGTCACCTGAGTCTTTTAACCAAAATATCACAGATGAGACAAATATTTTCACCTTGCCCTTTAAGGGCAGGAGGTTACCGTGGTAATCAAATCAAATCAAATGTTATGTCACATGCGCCGAATACAACAGGTGTAAACCTTACAGTGAAATGCTTACTTACAAGACCTTAACCAACAATGCAGTTTCAAGAAAGAATACCAAAAAAAAATAGAAATAAAAGTAACAAATAATTATAGAGCAGCAGTAAAATAACAAACACGAGGGGCCCCCGTGTTGAGGAGCAGCGTGGTGGATGTGTTGTTACCTACCCTTACCACCTGGGGGCGGTCCGTTGGGAAGTCCAGGATCCAGTTGCAGAGGGAGGTGTTTAGTCCCAGGGTCCTTAGCTTAGTGATGAGCTTTGAGGGTACTATGGTTTTGAACGCTGAGCTGTAGTCAATTAATAGCATTCTCACATAGGTGTTCCTTTTGTCCAGGTGGGAAAGGGCAGTGTGGAGTGCAATAGAGATTGCATCATCTGTGGATCTGTTGGGGCGGTATGCAAATTGGAGTGGGTCTAGGGTTTCTGGGATAATGGTGTTGTGAGCCATGACCAGCCTTTCAAAGCACTTCATGGCTACAGACATGAGTGCTACAGGTCGGTAGTCATTTAGGCAGGCTACCTTGGTGTTCTTGGGCACAGGGACTATGGTGGTCTCCTTGAAACATGTTGGTATTACAGACTCAGACAGGGAGAGTTCTACAGCTTATAATGAGATACTCTACCTCAGGCGAGCAAAACCTTGAGACTTCCTTAGATATCGTGCACCAGCTGTTGTTTACAAATATACATAGACCGCCACCCCTTGTCGTACCAGAGGCTGCTGTTCGATCCTGCTGATGGTGTATATTGCTACTTGAGTCATGTTTGTGCCTGTGAGATTGAGTCTGACTAGTAGCAGCGTTGTCTCCTTTTCCCTAGCAGTTGAACATAGGAAACAAAAATAACCTACCTTGTGAAAAAACAATGTAAATAGCCAAGAAACACAAGGACAATGTCTCACTTCAGTGGACTTTAGTTTCAAGTAAGTTAGACTCATTTGTATGCCTGTGCACAAAAAGAATGAATCTTTCACTCAGCTCTTCACGTGCGCACAGCCCCCAGCCAGGCAGTGTTGTAGTGCGAGGTGGGATAGGCTATATACTGTAGGATTCCTAGTTCTTTGACTTTGATTCATTTACCAGCTATGAAACAAAATGGCAGAAATACTTTGAAAACAGCTACTGCAGCATTTATTTTACTATAAATGTGATTATACTTTAAAATGCTCGCACTTTGGAGCCCTGACCACCGCCAATGTGGCTGGTGAAATAGCCATCTTACCCGCCAATGTGGCTGGTGAAATAGCCATCTTACCCGCCAATGTGGCTGGTGAAATAGCCATCTTACCCGCCAATGTGGCTGGTGAAATAGACATCTTACCCGCCAATTGGTGGGTGTTAAATTTAGGCCCTGGATGTTAACTACTTCATAAACTTAGGAACCACACCTGTGTGGAAGCACCTGCTTTCAATATACTTTGTATCCCTCATTTACTCAAGTGTTTCCATTATTTTGGCAGGTACCTGTATGTCTCAGAGCCTCTGGCTATGCCCAGGTTTGATTGAAAACCATGTGACCATCTCATGCCCAGCAAACGTTATATGTCCAGTGTATAAGGCCTGTAACTGCAAATAATAAGCCTTTAAATGACACTTAGATACACTATACTATCTAGGTTACAGATAAAACCTTTAGGGCTGGTTTCACAAGGATTCCTAAGCATAAAACATACCTTTCTGAAGATATTAATTTTGTGTAAAATATACAGAGTATACAAAACATTAAGAACACCTGTTCTTTCCATGACGTGTGAAAGCTATGATCCCTTATTGATGTCACTTGTTAAATCGACTTCAATCAGTGTAGATCAGGGGTGTCAAACGCAATCAGCGCAAGGCCCATATTGAAAAAAACACAACTAATTTGCGGGCCAGACATAACCTATTATGTTTGTTTTTACCAAAAAACCTATCATACAACAGCGACCCAAACTGGCCATTAAGACCCTTTATAATGACCACTTATGCTCACCTTCGATGGCCACTGGCACGCTGGAGAAGTGTGCTTTTCACGGATGAATCCCGGTTTCAACTGTACCGGGTAGATGACAAGACAGCGTGTACTGAACAAAAATTATAAACGCAACACAAAAAGCTTATTTCTCTCATGTTGTGGACAAATGTGTTTACATTCATGTTAGTGAGCATTTCTCCTTTGTCAAGATAATCCATCCACCTGCCAGGTGTGGTATATCAAGAAGCTGATTAAACAGCATGATCATTACGCAGGTGCACCTTGTGCTGGGGACAATAAAAGGCCACTCTGAAATTTGCAGTTTTGTTGCACAACACAATGCCACAGATGTCTCAAGTTTTTAGGGAGCGTGCAATTGGCATGCTGACTGCAGGAATGTCCACCAGAGCTGTTGCCAGATAATTTAATGTTCATTTCTCTACCATAAGCTGCCTCCAATGTCGTTTTAGAGAATTTGGCAGTACGTACAACCGGCCTCAACCACAGACCACATGTAACCACGCCAGCCCAGGACCTCCATATCCGGCTTCTTCACCAGCGGGATCGTCTGAGACCAGCCACACGGACAGCTGATGAAACTGTGGGTTTGCACAGCCTGCATCTGCGTGCTCGTCGTCCTCACCAGGGTCTTGACCTGACTGCAGTTCGGCGTCATAACCCACTTACAGTTGGCAAATGCTCACCTTCGATGGCCACTGGCACGCTGGAGAAGTGTGCTTTTCACGGATGAATCCCGGTTTCAACTGTACCGGGCAGATGACAGACAGCGTGTATTGCGCAGAGATACCGTGACGAGATCCTCAGGCCATCATGTTTCAGCATGCATGGCCCCATGTTGCAAGGATCTGTACACAATTCCTAGAAGCTGAATATGTCCCAGTTCTTCCATGGCCTGCATACTCACCAGACACGGCACTCATTGAGCATGTTTGGGATGCTCTGGATCGACGTGTAAGACAGCGTGTTCCATTTCCCGCCAATATCCAGCAACTTCTCACAGCCACATTCCACAGGCCACAATCAACAGCCTGATCAAATCTATGTGCTGCATGAGGTAACTGGTGGTCATACCAAATGTTGACTGGTCTTCTGATCCATGGACCTACTTTTTATTTTTTAAAGGTATCTGTGACCAACAGATTCATGTCTATTCCCAGTCATGTGAAATCCATAGATTAGGGCCTAATTTATTTATTTCAATTGACTGATTTCCTTATGAACTGTAACTCAGTAAAATCTTTGAAAAGGTTGCGTTTATATTTTTGTATAGGATGCTGTATGTAGCGTTTTTAACATATTAAAACAAAAGATAAATAATATTTTCCCAGCCTTTGCTGCTATGCTTGCAGATGTCCATAATATGCTGCGACCCTAATCAAAAAATATTTAATAACTCCAAATAACAAAAACGTAGCTAGGTTGTTGTAACATTTAAATTGAAACATGTTTTTCATTTTTTTGCACCGCATGCATCACCGGTGTGGTTGAATGCAGCATTGCTGTATGGTGCACTCAAAATGTATTGTAGCCAGCCTAGGCTACTGCTCAAATGTTTCTGTAACCGGCCGACATGTTTCTCCTTTGCGCAGTGTTTTGTTTTTTGGTTATTCATTGTTAAGCTTTAAAAACCGAAGACAAACTGCAACATTTTACTAGGACTGTGACATGTGTCCGTACACTTTCAACCTCTGCTGCGTGCGATAAACGGGACACACGAAGCAGCGCAATTGATGTTGAATTCACCGATGTGAGCCCATCAGGCTGTAATTTCATAAAGTAGATGACTCAACTGTTGACTCATTTATACTCGCTTGTGTGTCCTATTTTCCTTTAGTAATTTATACCCATGTGTGAATCCTTTATAACTTTTTGACAACCAAGATGACATTTCCTGTAGGCTACAGCAATGACCCGTTGGAACCGAAACTGGCCATGAACATTTAGCCTACAAGACGATTAAACTTTCGGTCCGGTAGAAGATTCGGTCAGTGCCATTAGTGATGACATGATACAGTACACTGGCTGGTGTGTGTGTCTGGGATGAGGTGTGTGTGTGTGTGTGTGTCTGGGATGAGGTGTGTGTGTGTGTGTTTGTCTGGGATGAGGTGTGTGTGGCAATGCACTGCGGTTTGGCGTGCAGCACGTTGGCAGTGCTTGTAGTGCAGCGCATCGCAGGGCTGTATGGAAGCGTGCCAAAATGACTTGACAACCCAATGTGTCGTGGGCCGGATTTGGCACGAGATGAAGGGGAGGATAGAGATTAAAGAAGGATTTTTAAGCCTTGAGACAATTGAGACATGGATTGTGTATGTGTGCCGTTCAGAGGGTGAATGGGCAAGACAAAAGATTTAAGTGCCTTTGAACGGGGTATGGTAGTAGGTGATGGGCCAACAGGTTTGTGTCAAGAACTGCAACGCTGCTGGGTTTTTCACACAACAGTTTCCCGTGTGTATCAAGAATAGTCCACCACCCAAAGGACATCCAGCCAACGACACATTGGAAGCATTGGAGTCAACATGGGCCAGCATCCCTGTGGAACGCTTTCGACACCATCTAGAGTTAATTCCCCGACAAATCAAGGCTGTTCTGAGGGCAAAAGGGGGTGCAACTCAATATTAGGAAGGTGTTCTTAATGTCTTGTACACTCAGTGTATTCCATGATGTGTTCAACATATTCCATTATTTTGGTGTCATTCCCCCTGTTTAATGTTTTCTATTTATTTATTTATTTCAAAAACTGACATAAAGATGTTAGTGTAACCATTTATTAATGATCTACTAGTTTAATTAAAGGTTGTCTTTTGGAAGGGGGTGGAGACATGGCCAGCACCACCGATCATCAAACAGGAGGATATGGATGATGATGATGACATGGAGTCTCAAGGTACGTTTAATCTATTATTGTAATCTATGTTCAATACAAAAGCACAGACTAGCTCAACGACACTCTAACTTGTAACAATTATAGTCACTGTGTGTTGTTGGTGACTTCCTTTCCAGCTTACGGCAAGTGGATTCCAGAGACACATGGGGCCAATCAGAATATCACAGGAGAAAGTAATGAGCAAGAGAGAAGTCAATCATCTGGGGGATCCAAAGAACTTAGACTCGAGGACTTCAAGACAGAACAGAATCCGTTGCTGGTCTCAACTGAGGATGCTGCTGCACCCGTAAAGAAGAAATATGATAAAAGGTACACCTGTGAAATATGTGGAAAGACTGAGACCAAGAAAGCCAGAATGACGAGTCACATGAGAAGGCACACAGGGATGCCCTTTAACTGCGATATCTGTGGCGAGAAATTCCAGTGTCAGAAATTATTGACAAGGCACAAGCGCTCCAATCACTACACAGGGATCATCTACAGTTGCTCTGTGTGCGGAAAAACTTTCATGCAGGCCACATCTCGCGACACGCATGAGCGTGGTCACACTGGAAAAAACTATTGGTGCTCAGACTGTGGTGAGACGTTCAAGGAGCGCCAGGAACGCGACACGCACGAGTGCATTGTTTACAAAGGTGACCGGCCCTTCAGCTGCTCCGAGTGCAACAAGGACTTTGAAAGGCAGTACCATCTCAAAAAACACCAGCTGGAAAAACACCCTCTAATGGTGGACCAGACTGTCGACCCTGAACCTGAGTCAAAGCACTTTGAGGACCAACAGAGTCCGTTGTCTGAGAGTTCTGAGGCACCCACGTGTTTCACCTGTGACATATGTGGAATGATTATTATGAATAAAGGCAACATTAACAGACACATGTTAACACACACAAAGAAGCCCTTTAGTTGTGATATCTGTGGTGAGAATTTTAAGCGCAAAGCCCAATTTACCCGACATCAGGGCAAACACACGAGAGTTGAGGAGAAAATAGAAAAAGCCTACAGTTGCACTGTGTGTGGAATGATGTTTGTATATTCTAAAATGCGCAACAACCATGAGCGCAAACACATTGGAGAAGACTATTGTTGTTCAGACTGTGGCAAGACGTTCAAGGAGCGCCAGGATCGCGACACGCACGAATGCATTGTTTATAAGGGAGACCGGCCCTACAGCTGCTCAGAGTGCAATGAGGACTTTGAAAGGCAGTACCATCTCAAAAAACACCAGCTGGAAAAACACCCTCTAATGGTGGAGCAGACTGTTGACCCAGAGCCTGAGTCAAAGCACTTTGAGGACCAAACGAGTCAGTTTGAGTCAGCTGAGAGTTCTGAGACTGAGGCACCCACGTGTTTCACCTGTGACATATGTGGAATGATTATTATGAATAAAGGCAACATTAACAGACACATGTTAATACACAAAAAGAAGTCCTTTAGTTGTGATATCTGTGGTGAGAATTTTAAGCGCCACGCCTGTTTAGCCAAACATCAAGGAAAACACAAGAGCGTTGAGGAGAAAATAGAACCATACAGTTGCTCTATGTGCGGAATGACGTTTGTATATCCTAAAATCGCGAGACAACCATGAATGCAAACACATTGGAGAAGACTACTGGTGCTCAGACTGTGGCAAGACATTCAAGGAGCGCCAGGATCGCGACGTGCACAAGTGCATTGTTTACAAGGGAGACCGGCCCTTCAGATGCTCAGAGTGCAATGAGGACTTCGAAAGACAGTACCATCTCAAAAGACACCAGCTGGAAAAGCACCCTCTAATGGTGGACCAGCCACGTCCCGGTCATGATACTGATATGGTAGTTCAGGGAGCACAGCCTTCAACTGACAATGATCTTAAGGCCGAAATGAGTACGTTAGGTGGAAAAGTTCCAGTAACATGAGTTAAAGTTGACAAGTGAAATGGCTTCAACTGAATTAAGATGTTTTGTAAAGTACAAAAAGGATAGACATGAAATTGAATGAAGGGATGACGGATAGAGTTGGAAATAGTATGTAGAACATTGATGGGACTGGGATTCAATCCCACACAAGCAGGGGATTGCATATCCGCAGAGGGTGGTGGCCTTTACTGCACAACTAACTTTAGGCACCTGGATGATGTTTTACAGCAATTTCTAATGCTCATTTTGGGCCTAGATTCGATCTGGACTGTTATAGCGCACTTCACATTTAAAGGTAATTTCCGATTTGAGCCGAAATATGCAGCATTTAACGTGAATAGACTGTGATTCCCAAACCACCCACTCGCCCCTACCAACTCACTCGGAGAGCCCTCCGTTGTCACGTGTTGCTGACGAAACTCAGAGGGTGACTTCCAAAGAGTGGCGAGGGGCTCAATAAACCTATCAACTTTGGGACACACTCGTGGGTATACTGATGATTTGTTTACATAGGTTAGGATAATTAACGTAGCAGGTTAGGAGAAGGAGGTTAAGGTTAGGAACAGGGTTCGAGTTAGGCTTATCTAAAATGCTACAGTTGTCAACAACTAGATGGAGCTGTAGGCCTACTCCATCTAGCCACAACCATAGAAACCATCAGCTATGTCAGGGGTTCCCAAACTTTTTCGCTCAGGCTGCCCTTCCAGCATTGGGCAACATCCCACGCTCCATGTCTATTTCTCTGTTCACACTGCTCTTGTTGGTGGAGAGAATTTTGCAGGGTTAAATCCTATTTCTTGTAATCTACACATTTTGTCATGAGGTGCAGAGAAAATGTTGCTGTTTTAAATCTCATTTTCAATTCTATACATTTTGCCGTGTCTAATGTGTATTCATGTGATATGAGTGACTCCAACATTACAACAAAATATATGGGCAAAAATATGCTAAAAACCGTTGGACAGCAAGGGTTTTTAGAAGCGGTGTGTTAATCAAAATGGAATTGAGAAGTCTTATGACTCAGTGGTTTCAGTAACAGCATTTATGTTTAAGGTTTGTCAACTCGACATGTTAATGCTTTTTGAGAGGAATAAAAATGTCAACTTGTGATATCGTTTAGTTTTATTATTTTGCATGTACAATACAAATACTCAAACAGCAGGTGAAATTAAAGAGGCAGATAAACGACTGTTTACGGTATATCACCGGCGCAACCTCGTCAGCTGTCCGGAACCAAACGGCCACCAGCAATTCAAAGGTTCCACAGTAACTTCACACAAACTAGGCTAAATTAGCGAGGTTGGTGAATTTTGTAGCCATGTCTTTCGAACTCGCCTTTCGTTCTCGTGTTGCCTTCATTATGGAAACTTTGACAGAAAAAGCCTTGCAAGACATCTGCCAACTTATGGGAGAAACGTATGCTGCTCTTCGAGTGGAAATGTTGCATGAACAAAACCAAAGATCGATAAAGTTGCAGTCGATGGAGAATAGCATCGGGAAGGAGAAGCCAGCTAACTGCATGGAGAGCATTCAAAAACCAGGTGAGAGCTAGCTAAGTTAGCCTATACGCATAATAACCAGGTGTCTGTATGAAGCTTGGATACAATTGGCTAGCAAGCCATGTCACTACCCCACTTGTCGGCTACAGTAACTAGTTAACGTTAGTAGCCTCTTCACTCCGGGAGACCTGTAACCTTACACATCTCGGGCGAAGAGGCTATCTAACAGTCGCCTGTCTGGGGGGGGGGCGCCTTGGCTCCAAGTCTGGACAGTAACTCCTCTCTCGTCTCTAACGTGTAGGCTCACTTTTTAACAGTCCCATCACAAGTCAGACTTGAATAAACTTAATTTGAACGTACTTTACCAGTTGTCCACTGATTTTGTCCTTATGTAGGAGGTAATCTGAGACAAAATACATGTTTATTTTATTTATTTAACTAGGCAAGTCAGTTAAGAACAAATTATTATTTACTATGACGGCCTATAGTATCCAGAGTAGTGTTAATAACCCGACTTTCAGTACGCTGGTCGGTTTTGTATTTTCAATGCTGACGCAATTTGCACGCCACTTGAACAATATGTTAACAATTGCCGAGTTTAACCGAAGAGCAAGACCAAACATTGTTCCACACAAGCACCTGGCAACTTTCACAAGCACTTCCAGCTGATTGCGACAAAATGCGCTTTGGTTGAAAACGTTCGGCTATTGTTTACATATTGTGCATCACGTGAAATGCGTCAGGAGATGGAAAATAAACAGAACCTACTAGTGCAGCAAAAGGTTGGGTAAACAACACTTTCCTGTGGTTACCCGATCTCCACTTCCTACCGCCAAAAGGACCAACGGACAACCGGTAGATATGTTAAAATAACATTGTATTCAACATTCTGTCTTGTAGAGACGATTGCATGTTTTTTTACGAACTGATATCCACGGAGTAACCTTGGTAACAGTCTGTTGCCAGTAGAGTTAGTATGACTATTACTATGCTACTATCATTCTCCTTAGTGAAAAGTTGCTAGAGAATATATTTCTCAGATAAAGATGGCTACGCCATCCTGCCATGATGATGGCATTTCCACTATGCAGTGGTGGAAAAAGTACTCAATTGTCATACTTGAGTAAAAGTGAAGGTACCTTAATAGAAAATGACTCATGTTAAAGTGAAAGTCACCCAGTAAAATACTAATTGAGTAAAAGTCAAAGTATTTGGGTTTTAAATATACTTCTTAAGTATTAAAAGTAAATGGAATTCCTAAAATGTACTTAAGTATCAAAAGTAGAAGTATAAACCATTTCAAATTCCTTATTTTAAGCAACCAGAAGGCACAATTTTCATATTTGTATTGACGGATAGCCATGGGCACACTCCAACACACAGACAGTTTACAAATGAAGCATTTGTGTTTAGTGAGTCCGCCAGATCAGAGGCAGTAGGGATGACCAGGGATGTTCTCTTGATAAGTGTGTGAATTGGACCATTTTCCTGTCAATGTAAGAAGTACTTTTGGATGTCAGGGAAAATATATGGAGTAAAAAGTACACTATTTTCTGTAGGAATGTAGTTTAGTAAAAGTTGTCAAATATAAATGGTAAAGTACAGATACTACTGAAGTCGTTTTTTGGTATGTTAAAGTATTTTTACTTAAGTACTTTACGCCACTGTTTGTGAAATCTGAGCCTCGATATCCCTGTTTTGTGTTGAACAACATTTTTAGAAAATCTCAATCTGTTTTTGTATGTTAGCTTCCCCAACAGGTTTGAGAAACTTCCCAGTCGTGGAGCAAATCCTCAATGAACAAGAGGCCAATGGTCTTTGGCTAGAAGGTGATCCTACTGTGGAAGACAAAGGTCCACCATCACTGTTACCAGAGGGAGAAGAGCCATTGCAGCCTCTTGGTCAGATGACAGACATGGTGAGTTTAGCTTGTGGTTTGGCTGCTGATTTTGTAAGGGTAGATATGTCTCAGAGCTGCTCTGGCTAGGCCCAGCCATATTTAATTGAAAACCATGCGAACTCGTGCTCTGCAAAAGTGTCACGTCCTGTGTAGCAGGCCTGTAACTGCAAATAATAAGGCTTTGAATGATGCCTAGGCAAGCTCTATACTGTCTAGGCTACAGATGATAAAACGTTTAGGGCTCCCAAGGATACTCATTTAAACATAAATGCCCTTCTGAAGAAATGTATATGTGTACAATATAACATTATTTTGGTGTCATTCCCCCTGTTTTGTTTTTATATATAAAAAACAATTGTTTTAACAAAGATGCTAGTGTAACTGTTGCTGTATGATCCTACTGGCCTAAAGGCTGATAAGAGTTCATAACAGCATTGGTTGTCTTTTGGAAGGGGGTGGAGACATGGCCTGCACCACTGGTCATTAAACAGGAGGAAATGGATGATGATGAAATGGAGTCTCAAGGTCAGTTGAAGCTATTATTTGAATGTATGTTTAATACAAAAAGCACAGGCAAACTCTGCAGTAGGAGTTATACTCTTAGCTTCTGTATTGGCCAATATGGGTCACTGTGAAACATCCCTGTGAAATGTATTGTTGGTGACTTCCTTTCCAGGTTACAGCGAGTGGATTCCAGAGACTCACAAGGCCAACCAGAATATCACAGGAGAAAGTGATGAGGAAGAGAGAAGTCAAGCCTCTGGGGGATCCAAAGAACTTGGACTCGAGGACTTAAAGAGAGAACAGAGTCCGTTGCTGGTGTCAACTGAGGATGCTCCGGCACCCGTAAAGAAGAAATATAATAAAAGGTACACTTGTGAAATATGTGGAAAAACTGAGAACAAAAAACGCAGAATGACAAGTCACATGATAACACACACAGGGATGCCCTTTAGCTGCAATATCTGTGGTGAGAAATTCAAGTTTCAGAATTTCTTGACCAGGCACCAGCGATCCAAACACACAGTGAAAACCTACAGTTGCTCTATGTGCGAAAAAACCTTCCTGCAGGCCACATCTCGTGACACGCATGAGCGTGGTCATGCTGGAAAAAACTATTGGTGCTCAGACTGTGGTGAGATGTTCAAGGAGCGCGGGGATCGTGACACGCACGAGTGCATTGTTTACAAAGGAGAACGGCCCTTCAGCTGCTCCGAATGCAGTGAAGCCTTTCAAAGGCAGTACCATCTCAAACAACACCAGCTGGAAAAACACCCTCTAATGGTGGAGCAGACTGACGACCCAGAAAATCGAGTTGAGGAGACTATAGAAAAACCCTGCAGTTGCTCTGTGTGTGGAATGATGTTTGTATATCCTAAATCGCGAGACAACCATGAACGCAAACACATTGGAGAAGACTACTGGTGCTCAGGCTGTGGCAAGACGTTCAAGGAGCGCCAGGATCGCGATACGCACGAGTGCATTGTTTATAAGGGAGATCGGCCCTTCAGATGCTCAGAGTGCAATGAGGACTTTGAAAGACAGTACCATCTCAAAAAACACCAGCTGGAAAAACACCCTCTAATGGTGGACCAGCCACGTCCTGGTCATGATACGTAAAAAAAAATTTTTGCCGTACGAAACATACGCAGACAAACAGCCACAACATCACCCTGCCCAGACCCACCTGCTCACACCCCCATCTCCAGCGCCCGCAACAGTCTCCGCCACATGGCCTCAAACTGCACCATTTTGTTTCTCTCTCTCTGTTTCAACATTTAGATAATAAAGGATTTGACCTTTCCATTGTGTTAACGATGGAGGATTGGTTGATTTTACAGTTTAAGTATACGTTTAAGATGATTGACGAGAAAAGTATCTCTCTGCACCCACGTATGCCATGTCTTGAAATATGCAGACAGACAGAATAAAAGTACATTTCCATTGTAATACTTCTGACAGCCAACTTTCTAACTCCGCCCATAACTTTTGGACTTTATAGCATTCCCAGAAGGCATGGGTTATTGAGTCATTGTTAGTTTTACACTTAAGACATAATTTGGCCGTTGTGCTGTAAAATTTGTGAATTTCGTTTCTTGTGTAATAAATTCTATACATTAGTTTATACAGGATTAAGTGTACATTTTTGTTCTTTGTAATTTTGTTATTTATGTTCCAACATTCCCTCCAATTTGTGCCAATAGAGCCCCACAGTGGAGCTGTCATAATACCCATAAATCTAGCGGTCAAACTGGGAAATGGTTCCAATCGTTTTCCACCATTCATTTTCTCCATAGGGGATTTTAGAAACACTTAAAATAAGGGCTGTGTTTTGTGTAGGCTTATCCTGGTGTGACGTTTTGATAACCATGTAAATCTCTCTCGGACAAGGTGACTTATCAATATATTCGGCTCTATTTACTCTTGATTCGAAAATGTTAATTAGCATCAAAGTAGACATGCAAAACTACAAATCCCCCCACATCATCTCTAGCTGACACCTTTGCTAACAGGTATTGTGTCAATTTAAAACTTGCACAAGACAGTACACAGAATTGTAAATTAAGAAATGTAGCCAATTTATTCATTACTACATTTAGCTAACATTAGTTAATCTAGAGATTCTTACCTTTGCCTCGATTCGGCAGTCTAGTCCAGATCGTCATTGGCATTTGTAGTTTATGATAGACACATTAGCAAAAACTAATTTTTTTTTTTTGGGGGGGGGCGGTAAATACAGGCGAATATATTGATGTCACCTTGTCATAGAGAGATTTACACTTATCAAAACGTCACGCCAGGGTAAGCCTACACAAAACACAGCCCTTATTTTAAGTGTTTCTAAAATCCCCTATGGGGAAAAATGAATGGTGGAAAACGATTGGTTCCATTTCCGTTTGACGGCTAGGTTTTATGGGTATTATGACTTCTCAGTTCTTGGTTCCAATGTATATATTTTTTGTAAGTGATTGTCAGTTGGGTAGGCTCTCTGCAAAGTTTTGTATATCTTACCTATCATATGAATATCCTTTTCTGACTCAAATAGGATTCCCTCAAGATGTTCTGATGTCCAAAAGATTTCAAATACAAATGTATTGAAATTCAACTTTTAAGTTGTATGTATTTAAAAAATATCTAAATTGGTCAGTCCATTTTTTTGCATGGACTGCGTCTCAATCCACCGCGAGTCCCACGGGACTCGTCTGATGTCGGTACCATAGATGTGCCAACTAATGTTTGTAGCGTCGGAACTGTTTTGGCTACAAACTGTGACCCCACTGTGGGAAGGGGAGATTCTCACCCATCGGTTTCTTGGACCAATCAGAACCGTTATGTGTTTGCGTTCTACAAATCATCTGGAAGGATTTAAATACAGACTCGTTGCAGAGAATAAACGTTTGTGGGCGTGGCGTTTGGCTGGAGCGTTGCGTTTGGGTAGCCAGGCAAGGGGATCAATAAACCCATCAACCCGGGACACACATATGACTTGAATGATGCAATTCATGTTCCACGTTTAAATAATAAAACAAGCATGAAATTCAAAAGAAATCCCCCCTGTTGTTATACAAGATATAAACCTCAGTAACAGTTACACATTTTAATTTGGGAGGTATTTAATCTTGTACATGTGTCAAGTATCGAAATCCGCCATAAACGAATGCACGTGGCATATAATTAGGCACCCGCCATTATTTTGTGTGAAATTACACAAACTCAATAACTCTGTGCCTTATGGGATTTCACTTCGCTCTGAAGCCAGCAGTGTTGCTGTAAAGGAGGATCTAATTAATTAGCAGGTTAGGAGAACTAACGTAGCAGGTTAGAATAACTAATGTAGCAAATTAGGTTTAGCAAGTTGTCAACAACTGTTGTCCCTGACGCGACAACTAGATGGAGCTGTAGGCCTACTCCATCTAGCCACAGCCATAGAAACCATCAGCTATGTAAACAAACCATCAGTCCCGACAAACCATCCAGTGGAGGCTGAGGGGAGGACGGCTCATAATAATGGCTGGAACGGCGTAAATGTAATGGCATCAAACACATGTAATTGATACCATTCCACGAATTCCGCTCCAGCCATTACCACGAGCCCGTCCTCCACAATTAAGGCGCCACCAACCTCCTGTGAAACTATCAGTATCATAACACCGGTCTTAATTTATTTTAGGGTGTATTGTGTTACCTGCAATTGTGTATTGTTTTGAATATTGGATTTTCCCTTTCATGTCAGTAAATCATTTTTGAATCTGGACAGCAAGGGTTGTAGAAGAGGTGTTAATGAAAATGATGGAATTGAGAACTTTCTTGTGACATCAGTGGTTTCAGTAACAGTATTTTAAAGGTTTGTCAACTCAATATGTTCTTGCTTTTTGAGAGGAATAAAAATGTATCAACCTGTTATATCGTTTAATTTTATTATTTTGCATGTATAACACAAACACTCAAACAGCTGGTCAATTTAAGGTGGCAGATAAACGAGTGTTTACGGTATATCACCGGAGCAACCTCGTCAGCTATCCGGAACCAAACGGCCACCAGCAATTCAATCGTTCCACCACAGACAGAAGGGTTTAGTTTTAATTTATAACATATTTGGTTCCACATTCATTTCATTCTAGCACACTAGCTAACATTTACCAGGCTAAATTAGCGAGACTGGTGAATTTTGTAGCCATGTCTTTCGAACTCGCTTTTCGTTCTCGGGTTGCCTCCATTATAGAAACTTTGACAGAAAAAGCCTTGCAAGACATCTGTCAACTTATGGGAGAAACGTGTGCTGCTCTACGAGTGGAAATGGTGCATGAACAAAACCAAAGATCGATAAAGTCGCAGGCGATGGAGAATAGCATCGGGAAGGAGAAGCCAGCGATCTGCATGGACAGTATAAAAAAATCCGGTGAGTAATGACTCGCTAAATTAGGTATTATGCGTATAGGCTATTTGTCTGTGTAGGAAGCTCGGATACAATTACTTCCCCACATGTCGGCTAGCTAGCTAGTAGACTCTTCGCTCCTGGAGACCTGTATCGTTACACATCTCCCGGAGCGAAGAGGATGGCTAACTAGATAGCAGTCGCCTGTCTGTGACGGACGGGCGTCCTGGCTCCAATTGTGGCTTGTAGTTAGCGGACTAAACTCCACTCCATGGTGAAAGAGACTTCCTTCACCATGAAGTGGAGTTAAGTCTGCTAGCCAGTAATTGCCCTATTGCTTAGCTCCTATCATCTCCTTAGTGAAAAGGTACTAACTATATAGCAAATACAATCTATTTCTCAGATAAACGTAGCTATACCATGAGTGATGGCATATTTCCATTATGTTTATGAAATCTGAGCCTCGTTATCCCGATTTTGTATTGATCCACATTTTCAGAAAATCTGTGTTTGTATGTTAACTCCCTCACCAGGTTTGAGAAACTTCCCAGTCGTTGATCAAATCCTCAATGAACAAGAGGCCAGTATTTGGCTAGAACGTGATCCTACTGTGGAAGACAAAGGTCCGCCATCACTGGTACCAGTGGGAGAAGAGCAATCACAGGCTCTTAGTCAGACAACAGACATGGTGAGTTGAGCTTGTGGTTTGGCTGTTGATTTTGTAAGGGTAGATATGTCTCACAGAGCGCGTTGTTTAGGCACAGGTTTAATTGAAAACCATATGAGCATCTCACGCCCAGCAAAAGTTACAAATCCAGTGTAGCAGGCCTGTAACTGTAAATAGTACATTTAGGCTTTGAATGACACCTAGATAAACGCTATATACCATCTAGGCTACAGATAAAACGTTTTAGGTCTGGTTCCACAATGATTTTCCTGTAAAGGCGAAGTAAACTTTATTTGAACCAAATCACTATTTTCGATGTAAATTACATGTTATAGAAGTACACAGACACCTTTTTGTTGTTGTTGCTATCTCACTTGTTTTTGAGAACCTTACCACTCCAGCGATATACTTCCTCATGCTCGTTCAGCAGTTGTAGGAGCACAGAAAAACATGAACAAAGGCTAAAAAACAAACACACAAATACCTCATTTTAGGAACGGCAACAGTCTCATCATAGTGATGCATGTCTTTAGATGTTATACACATTAAATTGTCATTACCAACGTTATCCGCAATGTTATATATTCAATTTTGTGCGACTACAGCGGTTTATCCTACCAGCTGGGCTGCTTCTCCTTGTAGCCCGCGCAGCACAGCTAGTATAAAACATGCCCTTCCATATACATTTATTTGTGTTCAACATATGACATGACACCTAAATCATGTAATTCCTCCTGTATTGTAACCGAAAGAAAGATGTAACTGCTTATGTATGATCTACAAGTTTAGTAAAGGCAGATAAGTTAATTACATTAATTGTCTTTTGGAAGGGGGTGGAGACATGGCCAGCACCACTGGTCATAAAACAGGAGGATGATGATGATGATGATGACATGGAGTCTCAAGGTCAGTGGAAGTTATTATTTTAATCAATGTTCAATACAAAACAGACAAGCTGAGTTTTACTCTTCTTTGAAACAATTATAGCTTCTGTATTGGCCAATATGATGGGTCGCTGTGAAACATCCCTGTGAAATGTATTGTTGGTGACTTCCTTTCCAGGTTACAACAAGTGGATTCCAGAGACTCACAAGGCCAACCAGAATATCACAGGAGAAAGTGATGAGGAAGAGAGAAGTCAAGCCTCTGGGGAATCCAAAGAACTTGGACTCGACGACTTCAACAGAGAACAGAGTCAGTTGCTGGTGTCAACTGGGGATGCTGCAGCACCCATGAAGAATAAATATAATAATATAAATATAAAAAGGAACACCTGTGAAATATGTGGAAAGATTGAGACCAATAAAGGCAGAATGACAAGTCACATGATAAAGCACACAGGGCTGCCCTTTAGCTGCGATATCTGTGGCAAGAAATTCAAGCGTCAAGACTTCTCGACCAGACACAAACGCTCCAAACACAACCCAGGGATCACTTACAGTTGCTCGCTGTTGGAGAGTCCGGAACTGGAAAACAGCTGTGAAGAGAGTGAGTATGAGTATGAGCCACCATCTAAAATGAGGATCCCACAACCAGAGCCATCTGTGCGCAGACTAGGAGCCATGCACATGCCTGAGATGATGGATACCAAGCATGCAGAAAGATGCAGAAATAAGGGCTGCAAGAGCAAGACGTACATGAGATGTACCAAATGCAAGATGTTCCTCTGCATTACCAAAAAGAGAAATTGCTTCCAGGACTTTCACCACTAACAAAGAAAATACTAAGAACAAAATGAAGAGTGAAGGAAAAAGCTAGATTGGATTCAGTTTGACAGAAGGAAAAAATCCAAAATAAATCTGTTACACATTAGTTATATGTTCATTGTTCAAATAACACTGAAAGGATTCAAGGGGACCAATCAAAGGATATGGACATAACAAAGTGTTAAGCTTTAATAGTAAAGCTATCCTTGCGAAATGTAAGGAAAAGGATTCAAGAATGATGAATGTGTATTGTATAATCAAAATGTCTGTATTCTTGGATGATAATAATCAATCTACAGCCCAAAATGTATGTATTCTTAGTTCATAAAAACTCTGTAATCTGTAAGAACTCTGTAAAAAATTTGTATCTACCAAATGTGTCTCTTTTCGTACTCAAATGATCCTGTTGTCCACTACAGTGGACATGCTGTAAAATAAATTTTTTAAATTAAAATGTGGAAATTGTAGGATGCTTTTTTTAACCCTAAACAGTTATTGAATCACAAAAAATATGATTAGGAAAAACCATATTTTCCTTGGTTCTCAGGAGGTTAATAGAAAATGACTCATGTTAAAGTGAAAGTCACCCAGTAAAATACTAATTGAGTAAAAGTCAAAGTATTTGGGTTTTAAATATACTTAAGTATTAAAAGTAAATGGAATTCCTAAAATGTACTTAAGTATCAAAAGTAGAAGTATAAACCATTTCAAATTCCTTATTTTAAGCAAACCAGAAGGCACAATTTTCATATTTTTATTGACGGATAGCCATGGGCACACTCCAACACACAGACAGTTTACAAAGGAAGCATTTGTGTTTAGTGAGTCCGCCAGATCAGAGGCAGTAGGGATGACCAGGGATGTTCTCTTGATAAGTGTGTGAATTGGACCATTTTCCTGTCAATGTAAGAAGTACTTTTGGATGTCAGGGAAAATATATGGAGTAAAAAGTACACTATTTTCTGTAGGAATGTAGTTTAGTAAAAGTTGTCAAATATAAATGGTAAAGTACAGATACTACTGAAGTCGTTTTTTGGTATGTTAAAGTATTTTTACTTAAGTACTTTACGCCACTGTTTGTGAAATCTGAGCCTCGATATCCCTGTTTTGTGTTGAACAACATTTTTAGAAAATCTCAATCTGTTTTTGTATGTTAGCTTCCCCAACAGGTTTGAGAAACTTCCCAGTCGTGGAGCAAATCCTCAATGAACAAGAGGCCAATGGTCTTTGGCTAGAAGGTGATCCTACTGTGGAAGACAAAGGTCCACCATCACTGTTACCAGAGGGAGAAGAGCCATTGCAGCCTCTTGGTCAGATGACAGACATGGTGAGTTTAGCTTGTGGTTTGGCTGCTGATTTTGTAAGGGTAGATATGTCTCAGAGCTGCTCTGGCTAGGCCCAGCCATATTTAATTGAAAACCATGCGAACTCGTGCTCTGCAAAAGTGTCACGTCCTGTGTAGCAGGTCTGTAACTGCAAATAATAAGGCTTTGAATGATGCCTAGGCAAGCTCTATACTGTCTAGGCTACAGATGATAAAACGTTTAGGGCTCCCAAGGATACTCATTTAAACATAAATGCCCTTCTGAAGAAATGTATATGTGTACAATAACATTATTTTGGTGTCATTCCCCCTGTTTTGTTTTTATATATAAAAAACAATTGTTTTAACAAAGATGCTAGTGTAACTGTTGCTGTATGATCTACTGGCCTAAAGGCTGATAAGAGTTCATAACAGCATTGGTTGTCTTTTGGAAGGGGGTGGAGACATGGTCAGCACCACTGGTCATTAAACAGGAGGAAATGGATGATGATGACATGGAGTCTCAAGGTCAGTTGAAGCTATTATTTGAATGTATGTTTAATACAAGAAGCACAGGCAAACTCTGCAGTAGGAGTTATACTCTTAGCTTCTGTATTGGCCAATATGGGTCACTGTGAAACATCCCTGTGAAATGTATTGTTGGTGACTTCCTTTCCAGGTTACAGCGAGTGGATTCCAGAGACTCACAAGGCCAACCAGAATATCACAGGAGAAAGTGATGAGCCAGAGAGAAGTCAAGCCTCTGGGGGATCCAAAGAACTTGGACTCGAGGACTTAAAGAGAGAACAGAGTCCGTTGCTGGTGTCAACTGAGGATGCTCCGGCACCCGTAAAGAAGAAATATAATAAAAGGTACACTTGTGAAATATGTGGAAAGACTGAGAACAAAAAACGCAGAATGACAAGTCACATGATAACACACACAGGGATGCCCTTTAGCTGCAATATCTGTGGTGAGAAATTCAAGTTTCAGAATTTCTTGACCAGGCACCAGCGATCCAAACACACAGTGAAAACCTACAGTTGCTCTATGTGCGAAAAAACCTTCCTGCAGGCCACATCTCGTGACACGCATGAGCGTGGTCACGCTGGAAAAAACTATTGGTGCTCAGACTGTGGTGAGATGTTCAAGGAGCGCGGGGATCGTGACACGCACGAGTGCATTGTTTACAAAGGAGAACGTCCCTTCAGCTGTTCCGAATGCAGTGAAGCCTTTCAAAGGCAGTACCATCTCAAACAACACCAGCTGGAAAAACACCCTCTAATGGTGGAGCAGACTGACGACCCAGAAAATCGAGTTGAGGAGACTATAGAAAAACCCTGCAGTTGCTCTGTGTGTGGAATGATGTTTGTATATCCTAAATCGCGAGACAACCATGAACGCAAACACATTGGAGAAGACTACTGGTGCTCAGGCTGTGGCAAGACGTTCAAGGAGCGCCAGGATCGCGATACGCACGAGTGCATTGTTTATAAGGGAGATCGGCCCTTCAGATGCTCAGAGTGCAATGAGGACTTTGAAAGACAGTACCATCTCAAAAAACACCAGCTAGAAAAGCACCCTCTAATGGTGGACCAGCCACGTCCTGGTCATGATACGTAAAAAAAATGTTAAACCGTACGAAACATACGCATACAAACGACAACATACAGACGCAGACAAACAGCCACAACATCACCCTGCCCAGACCCACCTGCTCACACCCCCATCTCCAGCGCCCGCAACAGTCTCCGCCACATGGCCTCAAACTGCACCATTTTGTTTCTCTCTCTCTGTTTCAACATTTAGATAATAAAGCATTTGACCTTTCCATTGTGTTAACGATGGAGGATTGGTTGATTTTACAGTTTAAGTATACGTTTAAGATGATTGACGAGAAAAGTATCGTCCAACACATTGGGTATCTCACTGCACCCACGTATGCCATGTCTTGAAATATGCAGACAGACGGATTAAAAGTACATTTACATTGTAATACTTCTGACAGCCAACTTTCTAACTCCGCCCATAACTTTTGGACTTTATAGCATTCCCAGAAGGCATGGGTTATTGAGTCATCGTTAGTTTTACACTTAAGACATAATTTTGCCGTTGTGCTGTATAATTTGTGAATTTCGTTTCTTGTGTAATAAATTCTATACATTAGTTTATACTGGATTAAGTGTACATTTTTGTTCTTTGTAATTTTGTTATTTATGTTCCAACATTCCCTCCAATTTGTGCCAATAGAGCCCCACAGTGGAGCTGTCATAATACCCATAAAACCTAGCGGTCAAACTGGGAAATGGTTCCAATCGTTTTTCCACCATTCATTTTCTCCATAGGGGATTTTAGAAACACTTAAAATAAGGGCTGTGTTTCGTGTAGGCTTATCCTGGTGTGACGTTTTGATAACCATGTAAATCTCTCTCGGACAACGTGTACCAATGTATTGATATTAAACTTTTAAGTTGGATGTATTTGAAAATATCTAAATTGGTCAGTCCAGTTTTTTGCATGGACTGCGTCTCAATCCACCGCGAGTCCCACGGGACTCGTTTTTGGCTACAAACTGTGACCCCACTGTGAAAGGGGAGATTCTCACCCATCGGTTTCTTGGACCAATCAGAACCGTTATGTGTTTGCATTCTACAAATCATCTGGAAGGATTTAAATACAGACTCGTTGCAGAGAATAAACGTTTGTGGGCGTGGCGTTTGGGTAGCCAGGCAAGGGGATCAATAAACCCATCAACTCGGGACACACATGACTTGAATGATGCAATTCATGTTCCACTTTTAAATAATAAAACAAGCATGAAATTCAAAACAAATTACCCCTGTTGTTATACAAGATATAAACCTCAGTAACAGTTACACATTTTAATTTGGGAGGTATTTAATCTTGTACATGTGTCAAGTATCGAAATCCGCCATAAACGAATGCACGTGGCATATAATTAGGCACCCGCCATTATTTTGTGTGAAATTACACAAACTCAATAACGCTGTGCCTTATGGGATTTCACTTCGCTCTGAAGCCAGCAGTGTTGCTGTAAAGGAGGGTCTAATCAATTAGCAGGTTAGGAGAACTAACGTAGCAGGTTAGAATAACTAATGTAGCAAATTAGGTTTAGCAAGTTGTCAACAACTGTTGTCCCTGACGCGACAACTAGATGTAGCTGTAGGCCTACTCCATCTAGCTACAGCCATAGAAACCATCAGCTATGTAAACAAACCATCAGTCCCGACAAACCATCCAGTGGAGGCTGAGGGGAGGAAGGCTCATAATAATGCCTGGAACGGCGTAAATGTAATGGCATCAAACACATGTAATTGATACCATTCCACGAATTCCGCTCCAGCCATTATCACGAGCCCGTCCTCCACAATTAAGGCGCCACCAACCTCCTGTGAAACTATCAGTATCGTAACACCGGTCTTAATTTATTTAAGGGTGTATTGTGTTACCTGCAATTGTGTATTGTTTTGAATATTGGATTTTCCCTTTCATGTCAGTAAATCATTTTTGAATCTGGACAGCAAGGGTTGTAGAAGAGGTGTTAATGAAAATGATGGAATTGAGATCTTTCTTGTGACATCAGTGGTTTCAGTAACAGCATTTTAAAGGTTTGTCAACTCTATGTTCTTGCTTTTTGAGAGGAATAAAAATGTGTCAACCTGTTACATCGTTTAATTTTATTATTTTGCATGTATAACACAAACACTCAAACAGCTGGTCAATTTAAGGTGGCAGATAAACGAGTGTTTACGGTATATCACCGGAGCAACCTCGTCAGCTGTCCGGAACCAAACGGCCACCAGCAATTCAATCGTTCCACCACAGACAGAAGGGTTTAGTTTTAATTTATAACATATTTGGTTCCACATTCATTTCATTCTAGCACACTAGCTAACATTTACCAGGCTAAATTAGCGAGACTGGTGAATTTTGTAGCCATGTCTTTCGAACTCGCTTTTCGTTCTCGGGTTGCCTCCATTATAGAAACTTTGACAGAAAAAGCCTTGCAAGACATCTGTCAACTTATGGGAGAAACGTGTGCTGCTCTACGAGTGGAAATGGTGCATGAACAAAACCAAAGATCGATAAAGTCACAGGCGATGGAGAATAGCATCGGGAAGGAGAAGCCAGCGATCTGCATGGACAGTATAAAAAAAACCGGTGAGTAATGACTCGCTAAATTAGGTATTATGCGTATAGGCTATTTGTCTGTGTAGGAAGCTCGGATACAATTACTTCCCCACATGTCGGCTAGCTAGCTAGTAGACTTTTCGCTCCTGGAGACCTGTATCGTTACACATCTCCCAGAGCGAAGAGGATGGCTAACTAGCTAGCAGTCGCCTGTCTGTGACGGACGGGCGTCCTGGCTCCAATTATGGCTTGTAGTTAGCGGACTAAACTCCACTTCATGGTGAAAGAGAAACTTCCTTCACCATGAAGTGGAGTTAAGTCTGCTAGCCAGTAATTGCCCTATTGCTTAGCTCCTATCATCTCCTTAGTGAAAAGGTACTAACTATATAGCGAATACAATCTATTTCTCAGATAAACGTAGCTATACCATGAGTGATGGCATATTTCCATTATATTTATGAAATCTGAGCCTCGTTATCCCGATTTTGTGTTGATCCACATTTTCAGAAAATCTAAATCTGTGTTTGTATGTTAACTCCCCCACCAGGTTTGAGAAACTTCCCAGTCGTTGATCAAATCCTCAATGAACAAGAGGCCAATGGTATTTGGCTAGAACGTGATCCTACTGTGGAAGAAAAAGGTCCGCCATCACTGGTACCAGTGGGAGAAGAGCAATCACAGGCTCTTAGTCAGACAACAGACATGGTGAGTTCCGCTTGTGGTTTGGCCGTTGATTTTGTAAGGGTAGATATGTCTCACAGAGCGCGTTGTTTAGGCACAGGTTTAATTGAAAACCATATGAGCATCTCACGCCCAGCAAAAGTTACACATCCAGTGTAGCAGGCCTGTAACTGTAAATAGTACACTAAGGCTTTGAATGACACCTAGATAAACGCTATATACCATCTAGGCTACAGATAAAACGTTTTAGGTCTGGTTCCACAATGATTTTCCTGTAAAGGCGAAGTAAACTTTATTTGAACCAAATCACTATTTTCGATGTAAATTGCATGTTATAGAAGTACACAGACACCTTTTTGTTGTTGTTGCTATCTCACTTGTTTTTGAGAACCTTACCACTCCAGCGATATACTTCCTCATGCTCGTTCAGCAGTTGTAGGGGCACATAAAAACATGAACAAAGGCTAAAAAACTAACACACAAATACCTCATTTTAGGAACGGCAACAGTCTCAGTATAGTGATGCATGTCTTTAGATGTTATACACATTAAATTGTCATTACGAACGTTATCCGCAATGTTATATATTCAATTTTGTGCGACTACAGCGGTTTATCCTACCAGCTGGGCTGCTTCTCCTTGTAGCCCGCACAGCTAGTATAAAACATGCCCTTCCAAATACATTTATTTGTGTTCAACATATGACATGACACCTAAATCATGTAATTCCTCCTGTATTGTAACCGAAAGAAAGATGTAACTGCTTATGTATGATCTACAAGTTTAGTAAAGGCAGATAAGTTAATTACATTAATTGTCTTTTGGAAGGGGGTGGAGACATGGCCAGCACCACTGGTCATAAAACAGGAGGAGGAGGATGATGATGATGATGACATGGAGTCTCAAGGTCAGTGGAAGTTATTCTTTTAATCAATGTTCAATACAAAACAGACAAGCTGAGCTTTACTCTTCTTTGAAACAATTATAGCTTCTGTATTGGCCAATATGATGGGTCGCTGTGAAACATCCCTGTGAAATGTATTGTTGGTGACTTCCTTTCCAGGTTACAACAAGTGGATTCCAGAGACACACAAGGCCAACCAGAATATCACAGGAGAAAGTGATGAGGAAGAGAGAAGTCAAGCCTCTGGGGGATCCAAAGAACTTGGACTCGACGACTTCAACAGAGAACAGAGTCAGTTGCTGGTGTCAACTGGGGATGCTGCAGCACCCATGAAGAATAAATATAATAATATAAATATAAAAAGGAACACCTGTGAAATATGTGGAAAGATTGAGACCAATAAAGGCAGAATGACAAGTCACATGATAAAGCACACAGGGCTGCCCTTTAGCTGCGATATCTGTGCCAAGAAATTCAAGCGTCAAGACTTCTTGACCAGACACAAACGCTCCAAACACAACCCAGGGATCACTTATAGTTGCTCTGTGTGTGGAAAAACCTTCCGGCAGGCCACATCTCGCGACACGCATGAGCGTGGTCACACTGGAAAAAACTATTGGTGTTCAGACTGTGGCGAGACGTTCAAGGAGCGCAGGGATCGTGACACGCATGATTGCATTGTTTACAAGGGAGAACGGCCCTTCAGCTGCTCCGAGTGTAACAAAGACTTTGAAAGGCAGTACCATCTCAAAAAACACCAGATGGAAAAACACCCTCTATTGGTGGAGCAGACTGTCAGCTGTAAACCCACTTGTTCTGTGTGTGGAAAAGTGTTCATGTACATCAAATGGTTAATCAGGCATGAGCGCTCTCACAGGGAAAAAAATGAGCACAGGGATCGTGACGCGCACAAGTCCATTGTTGAAGATCCTATCAACGAACAACTTGAGTCAAAGGACCGAGAGGGTCAGTTTGAGTCAGCTGAGAGTTCTGAGGCACCCATAAGGAGTGAACCGATACGATACACCTGTGAAATATGTGGAACAACTTGGGCGACTAAAAGTAGCATGCGCAGTCACATGGTAATACACAGAAAGATGCACTATACCTGCGATGTCTGTGGCAAGGTATTTAGGCTCAAATCCCCTTTCACCATACATCAGCTCAGACACAAGGGATTTAAAAATCAGTACCAGCTTAAAAAACACCAGCTTGAAAAGCACCCTTTAAAGGTGGACCAGCCATGTTCTGATCATGGTACTGCCATGGTGGTTCAGAGAGCACAGCCTTCTATTGACAGTGACCTAAAGACAGATATGAGTGTCCTAGATGGACAAGTTCAGGTCCCACAGCCTGAGTTGAACAATGATCACAGTAACAATGTCAAAATCTACATGAGTGTTCCTATAGAAGTTGAGGAAGCACAGCCTACGCATGAAAATGGCTGCTCCCTTTTGGTCCCCACTGAAGATGACAAGTTAAATGGCTTCAACTGAATGAAGTTGTTTTGTAAAGTACGAAAAGGATAGACATGAATAAAGGGGCGACAGATAGTGGGGAAATAGTGTGTAGAACAGCGACGGGACTGGGATTCAACGGGACTGGAATCCGATGGGACTGGCTAGGGATTACATATGCGCAGAGAGCAGTGGCCTTCACTGTACATCTTTCCTCAGGCACCTGGATGATTTTTTTAAAGCAATTATTTGATTCTAATCCTCGTGTTCATTTATTTTAGGATTTTGTTACTTGCAGCTTGGATTTTTCCTTTCATGACAATAAAACTTGTTTGAATCTGGAGAGATGGGTGTAATTATGGCCTGCAATTCGTGGTCTTCCTGCATGTGGGTGTTCATGCATCTGCAGGAACCCCTCTTTATACTTCTATTGGTCAATTAAGCTAGGACTCCAGGTACACAGGCTGGAGGCGGGGGTCCTGTGCAGGATGTTGTCAAGGAAGTGAGTTTGTGTTTTATATAGGACCTCCCGCCCCCACCTACCTCAACCAATCATGTCAATGCAGAGCTATATGGGGAAATCCAGAATATTAAAAGTGTAATTTAAACACAAGCCACATGCTGGAATGCATACATGCAGGAACGGCCAGAATTGTGGGCCGCAATCACACACTATTGAATCTGGACAGCAAGGGTTGGTTGTACAAGCAATGTAAATCAAAATGATGGAATTGTTCTTTCTTCTGAATTATCAGTTGATTAAGTAACAGCTTTCCTTTTAAGGGTTTTTCAATATATCTTGACATTATTTTTTTTGCAACACAAATATTGATAACTGGTCAAATTAAGGAGGCAGATAAACGAGTATTTACGGTATGTCACCGGCTCAACCTCGTCCGCAGTCTGGAACGAAACGACCAACCCCAACTCAACTGCGCCAGTAATTTCGTTCTCTCACTGGGAACATTTCAAGTGCGAACTCCTCGCGTCTGCGTGCCTCCTCAAAACCCATTGGAGGAGAAAGTCAGAGTGGCGGGACCTCTGGCTTTTTCCTCCAATGTGTTTTGAGGAGGATAGGAGAGAGGACGCGAGGAGTATGCAATTGTGGTTGTCTGACTGACTGTCACATCACATCTATCATCTCCTTTATGTTTGTAGCCATGCCTTTCGAACTCGCCTTTCGTTCTCGTGTTGCATCCATAATGGAAACTTTGACAGCAACAGCCATGCAAGACATCTGTCAACTTATGGTAGAAACCTATGCTGCTCTTCGAGTGGAAATGGTGCATGAACAAAATCAAAGTTCAAGGATAAAGACAAAGTTGCAGGTGATGGAGAATAGCACCTGGACGGAGAAGCCAGCGAACTGCATGGAGAGAATGCAAAACCTCGGTGAGAATAAATCTACAGACAGTTATGAGTAGGGGTTGGATACAAATAGGCTATAGCTAACTAACTGTTACTTCCCCACATGTAAGATTGTTTAGCAGTCGTCCTCCCTTGCTGAATGTGTGGTCTGTGGGGGGCGCCCTGGCTCTACGTCTGTCCATTAAAGTATTAATTACAAGCAGTGAAAAGGTGCTTTACAAATACAATCTAATCTATTTGACATATAAATATATGCCATTATGAGTGCTGATGGCCTATATTATCACAGTTTAGTGAAATCTGAGCCTTGTTATTGTGTTGAAGCACATTTTCAGAAAATCTAAATCTGTATTTGTTTGTTGGCTCCCCCACCAGGTTTGAGAAACTTCCCAGTCGTTGATCAAATCCTCAATGAACAGGAGGCCAATGGTATTTGGCTAGAACGTGATCCTACTGTGGAAGAAAAAGCTCCGCCATCACTGGTACCAGTGGGAGAAGAGCAATCACAGGCTCTTAGTCAGACAACAGACATGGTGAGTTGAGCTTGTGGTTTGGCCGTTGATTTTGTAAGGGTAGATACAGTGGGGAGAACAAGTATTTGATACACTGCCGATTTTGCAGGTTTTCCTACTTACAAAGAATGTAGAGGTTTGTAATTTGTATCATAGGTACACTTCAACTGTGAGAGACGGAATCTAAAACAAGAATCCAGAAAATCACATTGTATGATTTTTAAGTAATTAATTTGCATTTTATTGCATTTTATTGCATGACATAAGTATTTGATCACCTACCAACCAGTAAGAATTCCGGCTCTCACAGACCTGTTCGTTTTTCTTTAAGAAGCCCTCCTGTTCTCCACTCATTACCTGTATTAACTGCACCTGTTTGAACTCATTACCTGTATAAAAGACACCTGTCCACACACTCAATCAAACAGACTCCAACCTCTCCACAATGGCCAAGACCAGAGAGCTGTGTAAGGACATCAGGGATAAAATTGTAGACCTGCACAAGGCTGGGATGGGCTACAGGACAATAGGCAAGCAGCTTGGTGAGAAGGCAACAACTGTTGGCGCAATTATTAGAAAATGGAAGAAGTTCAAGATGAGGGTCAATCACCCTCGGTCTGGGGCTCCATGCAAGATCTCACCTCGTGGGGCATCAATGATCATGAGGAAGGTGAGGGATCAGCCCAGAACTACAAGGCAGGACCTGGTCAATGACCTGAAGAGAGCTGGGACCACAGTCTCAAAGAAAACCATTAGTAACACACTACGCCGTCATGGATTAAAATCCCCCTGCTCAAGCCAGCGTATGTCCAGGCCCGTCTGAAGTTTGCCATTGACCATCTGGATGATCCAGAGGAGGAATGGGAGAAGGTCATGTGGTCTGATGAGACAAAAATAGAGCTTTTTGGTCTAAACTCCACTCGCCGTGTTTGGAGGAAGAAGAAGGATGAGTACAACCCCAAGAACACCATCCCAACCGTGAAGCATGGAGGTGGAAACATCATTCTTTGGAGATGCTTTTCTGCAAAGGGGACAGGACGACTGCACCATATTGAGGGGAGGATGGATGGGGCCATGTATCGCGAGATCTTGGCCAACAACCTCCTTCCCTGAGTAAGAGCATTGAAGATGGGTCGTGGCTGGGTCTTCCAGCATGACAACGACCGAAACACACAGCCAGGGCAACTAAGGAGTGGCTCCGTAAGAAGCATCTCAAGGTCCTGGAGTGGCCTAGCCAGTCTCCAGACCTGAACCCAATAGAAAATATTTGGAGGGAGGTGAAAGTCTGTATTGCCCAGCGACAGCCCCGAAACCTGAAGGATCTGGAGAAGGTCTGTATGGAGGAGTGGACCAAAATCCCTGCTGCAGTGTGTGCAAACCTGGTCAAGACCTACAGGAAACGTATGATCTCTCTAATTGCAAACAAAGATTTCTGTACCAAATATTAAGTTCTGCTTTTCTGATGTATCAAATACTTATGTCATGCAATAAAATGCAAATGAATTACTTAAAAATCATACAATGTGATTTTCTGGATTTTTGTTTTAGATTCCGTCACTCACAGTTGAAGTGTACCTATGATAAAAAGTACAGACCTCTACATGCTTTGTAAGTAGGAAAACCTGCAAAATCAGCAGTGTATCAAATACTTGTTCTCCCCACTGTATGTCTCACAGAGCTGCGCTGTTTACGCACAGGTTTAATTGAAAACCATGTGAGCATCTCACGCCTAGCAAAAGTTACACATCCAGTGTAGCAGGCCTGTAACTGTAAATAGTACACTAAGGCTTTGAATGACACCTAGATAAACGCTAAACGCTATATACCATCTAGGCTACAGATAAAACGTTTTAGGGTTGGTTTCCCAAGGATTCTCCTTTAAGAGTTAAATATATAAATACCCTTCTTGTGTTTCATGATTTCTGTTCAACGTATAGTTTTTATTAAACAAATGTTTTACCCACAACAAGATGCTTGTGTAACTGTTGCTGTATGATCTACTAGCTTAAAAGCTGATAACGCCATTAATTGTCTTTTGGAAGGGGGTGGAGACATGGCCAGCACCACTGGTCATAAAACAGGAGGATAATGATGATGATGATGACATGGAGTCTCAAGGTCAGTGGAAGTTATTATTTTAATGTATGTTTAATACAAAACAGACATCTACGTTGACTGCACTAAGTCCAATCAGGCTAAGTGTGTTCAAAGCCCCCCCCTTTTGGGGCGATTTCAGTCAGGTTGAAATCGCCCCAGAAGTCTCTCATAGACTCTCATGTAAAATCTTTTTTTTTTCAAATATCAAGCTTTCAATACAATCTCTATGGGTCGGGAGGCTTGCACTTACGCGCTTTCGTCATACGTAACATAACCATGAACGTAACTAAGAAAGAGCGGGTAGCAGCGTCAATCAATCACGTACTACTGTCAAGATGGCTAGCGTTCAGTGCACTCGATTGTCTCTTGAAAGAAGTCCTTTTGTCGGCGAACAAATCAAGATAAATGGCAACGAAACAATTAGGACCTCCAGACCAAATTTAATAATTCAACAGGTTTCTACTAAAGGGGAAAGTCCTACACCTGAGGATTTCAAAAATGTACGAACGAAAAACTGTAGCAGGCTGGAGTGTGCTAGCAGTCTCTGACCTACCCTTGAGGTGACTTTTCACACCCCTGAAGGCTGGAACGGCAGAGCAGCAACCGCTTGACAGGGCGAACTGGTGACTACAGGACATGCACCATCTTTCAGAAAAAAGATTCAAATACATGAGCATAAATGCAAAGATACCCAACATGGATTTCTGGTTTTGAGATTGTCCTACTTGGGAGATGTGAACATTTGAATCAAACTGATCGAGGGATAAAGTACTGTCCCCCAGCCACAGAGCTGAGGTTAGCAAAGAAAACCGCACATCCTCACGCCAGGTTAATCCAGTGTGGTGAAGTTATTGGGGGAAATGTTGAACGTAACGCTTTACACTAGGCAAGATAAAACTAGGTGTTCCCAAACCCTTGGTATTTTTCTTGGATTTCTGTTCAACTTTTGTCACAAAGATGTGGTTGTTTTATGGAAATAGCTATAAAAGTTGATAGCAAGTCTTTGGAGGGGGGTGGAAATGGCAGCACCACCTGAGTAATGTTTTACTGGTGATAATTATTTTGTACCTGTGAAATGTAGTGTTGGTGATTCTTTCCCAGGTAAAAGTGAGTGGATCCAGAGACCACAAGGCCAACCAGAAATCACAGGAGAAAGTGTGAGGAAGAGAGAAGTCAAGCCTCTGGGGATCCAAAAGAACTTGGACTCGACGACTTCAACGAGAACAGAGTCGTTGCTGGTGTCACTGGGGATGCTGCAGCACCATAAATAATTAAATATAATAATACAAATATAAAAAGGAACACCTGTGAAATATGTGGAAAGATTGAGACCAATAAAGGCAGAATGACAAGTCACATGATAAAGCACACAGGGCTGCCCTTTAGCTGCGATATCTGTGGCGAGAAATTCAAGCGTCGAGACTTCTTGACCAGACACAAGCGCTTCAAACACAACCCAAGGATCACTTACAGTTGCTCGGTGTGTGGAAAAACCTTCCGGCAGGCCACATCTCGCGACACGCATGAGCGTGGTCACACTGGAAAAAACTATTGGTGCTCAGACTGTGGTGAGACGTTCAAGGAGCGCGGGGATCGTGACACGCATGATTGCATTGTTTACAAGGGAGAACGGCCCTTCAGCTGCTCCGAGTGCAACAAGGACTTTCAAAGGCTGTACCATCTCAAAAAACACCAGCTGAAAAAGCACCCTCTAATGGTGGAGCAGACTGTCGACCCAGAGCCTGAGTCAAAGCACTTTGAGGACCAACAGAGTCAGTTTGAGTCAGCGGAGAGTTCTGAAAAATCTATAAGGAGTGAAGCAATACGGTACACCTGTGAAATATGTGGAACAACTTGGGGGACTAAAGGTGGCATGACCAAACACATGGTAATACACAGAAAGAAGCGCTATACCTGCGATGTCTGTGGCAAGGTATTTAGGCTCAAATCCCCTTTCACCATACATCAGCTCAGACACAAGGGAGACCGGGCCTTCAGCTGCTCACAGTGCAACAAGGACTTTAAAAATATGTACTATCTTAAAAAACACCAACTTGAAAAGCACCCTTTAAAGGTGGAGCAGCCATGTTCTGATTATGATACTGCCATGGTAGTTCAGGGAGCACAGCCTTCTATTGACCGCAACCTGAAGGTAGATATGAGTGCCCTAGGTGGACAAGTTCAGGTCGCACAGCCTCAGTTGAATAAGTACCAATGTCAGACTACGCCTGTAAATGTCAGCTCCCTTTTGGACCCCACTGCAAATGACAAGTGAAATGGCTTCAACTGAATGAAGTCGTTTTGTAAATTAAAAACAAGGATAAACATGAATAAAGGGGCAACAGTGTGTAGAACAGCGACGGGACTGGAATTTGATGGGACTGGCAGGGGATAACATATGTTCAGAGGCCGGTGGCTTTCACTGCACATCTTTCCTCAGGCACCTGGATGATTAAAAAAAAGAAGCAATTATTTGATTCTAATCCTCATGTTAATTTATTTTAGGCCGTATTTTGTTACTTGCAACCGTGCAGCATCAGTTTGACAGTATTCTTTCAGCCCATATTCTATATTGTTTTGAGTGTTGTGTTGCTTTGGCAACATTGGATTTTATCTTTCATGCCAATAAAACGTATTTGAATCTGGAGATAAGGGTGTCATTGCGGCCTGTAATTCGTGGTGTTCCTGCATCTGCTAGCTAGGACTCTGGTGCACAGGCTGGAGGCGGGGGCGACACCGGTAGACAGTGCCGCAGTTCTGTTAGCGTTATGGCGAGGGCAGGTGCTCGGTGAAGGACACTGTGTGCTAGCCTATCGAGTTAGCTAGAACTCCGGTACACAGGCATGGGTAACACCACCGGTAGCTAGCTAGCTAGGACAGCGGTAGACCGTGTTCTTCGCCCCCAGTCTGCCGAGCACTGCTTTTCCGCAGTTCTGTTGAAGTTATTGTGTCTGTTTATTTTTTACATCACTTCCTCACAGCGCTTTGATTAAGAGAGGGGTGGGGTGGCTAGTATATCTGCTATCCAACACATTAACAGATTACACATACATTTTAAGCTAAAACATTGCACATTAATTATACTACAATGATGTCATAGCCTAAATAAAAACAAATACTTTTTATTTGACCCACATTTTAATAAAATAGAGAAAATCCAGAAGATCAAAAGAGTCATGTAAACACAAGCCACATGCAGGAACCAATGGGATGCTCGGTGGGGGGAATGCCCACATGCAGGAACCAATGGGATGCTCGGGGGGGGGGGGAATGCCCACATACAGGAACCAATGGGATGCTCGGTGGGGGGAATGCCCACATGCAGGAACCAATGGGATGCTCGGTGGGGGGAATGCCCACATACAGGAACCAATGGGATGCTCGAGGGGGGGAATGCCCACATACAGGAACCAATGGGATACTCGAGGGGGGGAATGCCCACATACAGGAACCAATGGGATACTCGAGGGGGGGAATGCCCACATACAGGAACCAATGGGATGCTCAGTGGGGGGAATGCCCACATACAGGAACCAATGGGATGCTCGAGGGGGGGAATGCCCACATGCAGGAACCAATGGGATGCTCGGTGGGGGGAATGCCCACATACAGGAACCAATGGGATGCTCGAGGGGGGGAATGCCCACATGCAGGAACCAATGGGATTCTCGGTGGGGGGAATGCCCACATACAGAACCAATGGGATGCTCGAGGGGGGGAATGCCCACATACAGGAACCAATGGGATACTCGAGGGGGGGAATGCCCACATACAGGAACCAATGGGATACTCGAGGGGGGGAATGCCCACATGCAGGAACCAATGGGATGCTCGGTGGGGGGAATGCCCACATGCAGGAACCAATGGGATGCTCGGTGGGGGGAATGCCCACATACAGGAACCAATGGGATGCTCGAGGGGGGGAATGCCCACATGCAGGAACCAATGGGATGCTCGGTGGGGGGAATGCCCACATACAGGAACCAATGGGGTGCTCGAGGGGGGGAATGCCCACATACAGGAACCAATGGGATTCTCTGTGGGGGGAATGCCCACATACAGGAACCAATGGGATGCTCGAGGGGGGGAATGCCCACATGCAGGAACCAATGGGATGCTCGGTGGGGGGAATGCCCACATACAGGAACCAATGGGATGCTCGAGGGGGAATGCCCACATACAGGAACCAATGGGATGCTCGAGGGGGGGAATGCCCACATACAGGAACCAATGGGATGCTCTAGGGGGGGAATGCCCACATACATGAACCAATGGGATGCTCGAGGGGGGGAATGCCCACATACAGGAACCAATGGGATGCTCGAGGGGGGGAATGCCCACATGCAGGAACCAATGGGATGCTCGAGGGGGGGAATGCCCACATGCAGGAACCAATGGGATGCTCGAGGGGGGGAATGCCCACATACAGGAACCAATGGGATGCTCGAGGGGGGGAATGCCCACATGCAGGAACGCCCCAAATTGTTGGCCGCAATCACAGACTATTGAATCTGGACAGCTAGGGTTGTACAAGCAATGTTGCGTTTTATATTTTTGTTCAGTATACATGTAAAATGTTGGTCCCATGTTTCATGAGATGTAATAAAAGATCCCATAAATGTTCCATACACACAAAAAGCTTATTTCTCTCAAATTTTGTGCACAAATTTGTTTACATCCCTGTTAGTGAGCATTTCTTATTTGCCAAGATAATCCATCCATCTGACAGGTGTGGCATATCAAGAAGCTGATTAAACAGCATGATCATTATACAGGTGCAACTTGTGCTGGGGACAATAAAAGTTCACACAACACAATGCCACAGATGTCTAAAGTTTTGAGGGAATGTGCAATGTTCAGTTCTCTACCATAAGTCGCCTCCAACATCATTTTAGAGAATTTGGCAGTATTTCCAACTGGCCTCAAAACCGCAGACCACGTGTAACCACGCCAACCCAGGACCTCCACATCCGGGATCGTCTGAGGCGGTGCTGAGGAGTATTTCTTTGTGGGGGAAAACTCATTATGGTTGGCTGTGCCCCTGCCCAGTTGTGTGAAATCCATAGATTAGGGCCTAATTTATTTATTTCTATTGACTGATTTCCTTATATGAACTGTAACTCAGTAAAATCTTTGAAATTGTTGCATTTATGTTTTTGTGCAGTGTAAATCAAAGTGATGGAATTGATAGATCTTTCTTCTGACTTATCAGTTGTTCCAGTAACAGCTTTCCTTTAATAGGTTTGTCAACTTTACATGTTTTTTGAGAGGAATAAAAATAAGTCAACGTGATTTTACATTTTATTATTTTACAACAAAAATATTGATAACAGCAGGAAAATTAAGGAGGCAGTTAACTATTATTTACAAAGATTGTCTATTATATTGACAAGATATTCGAGTGACTGCTCTAACAATGAAATACATGTCCTCAAATATGACTGCTCTGACAATTAAATACATGTCCTCAAATATGGAAGGAAGGAGGTGAGATCAGACCGGACCAGAGCCATGTAGTTAGAGAGTTAGGTAATTGGTTTCTGCGTTATATGATGCAGATAGTACTTGACACTTCAACATTCTATGGAAGCCATGTTAGCGCTCCATTAACATTACATGGGGAATATTTAAACAATGCTATGTAACTGAATATCTAGAATTTAATACAATATAAACAATTCTAAGTTGGCCAAATTCTATAAGGGTGCGTTCGTAAATTGTCTCCAGTGTCTGGGTCATTCGTAAATTCAGAGCATTGTCAGATTGCCTGTTCAGAGCATCTTGCTCTCAGAGGAGCGTTCAGAGCGCACACTGGACGCTCTGGCTGAGGAGTAGGGTTGATCTGAGCGATCTGAGCGTTCTGACCTCACAATGGCAGTCAAGCACCCAAGCTAACTGGCTAAAGCTGGCTAGCTTGCTAGCTCCTTCCAGACACAAATAAGAGAACACCTCACTCTGACCATTTTACTCGCCCTAGCAGAGCTGGTTAGGCTGTTTTCATGTTTTCTAGAGCTTTAGTGACTGTAACTGCAATTTAATTACTTTTTTTGCCGACATTTACTGACACCGGTCATATTCAGCAGGTGTTGCAAGTTCATAAATTCATCAGTTATTCTGCGCTCTGGCACACTCAGACCAGAGTGGTCTGAAATCAGAGTAGATAACCAGAGTGAATTTACAAACGCATCCTAAATATGGCTCCAGATGGGACCATTCTAGCAAATGAGAGGGCAGATACGCCTTTTCGCTCCTCCCTCCATTGTACTTGATTGATGAATTAAGGTCCCTAATTAGTAAGGAACTCCCCTCACCTGGTTGTCTAGGTCTTAAAAAAAAAAAAAAAACCTGCAGGCACTCAGCCCTCTGTGGAATGAGTTTGACACCCTAGAGATGGAGGACTCATCTTTGTATCTGTGCCATTATAGCTTCTGTGACAGCGTGGGTAGCGCTATTGAGGCTAAATCCATTTTAAAGTAGTAAATGTTCTTTGTCATTGGCTGATTGCTCCCAACCATAGAATGAATAGAATGGGTGTCCCCATTCAAGTCAATGATGTGGGGGACTGGTGGCCATTGCAAGTGTAGACATAGGAGCAAAGCAGGAAGTAAAAGCAGGAATTGTACCCACAAGGCGTATGTGGCAGGGGCTCCTAACGATCACAGATTACAAAAAGAAAGCCAGCCACGTTGCGGACATCAACACCTTTTTCTCACGCTTAGAGCACAACGACGACGCTGAGCTGCCGAGGAGAGCCCCAAAGGACAACGAGGGCTATGTACTTACGGTCTCCAGGGAGGACGTATGGAAGTAATTCAAACGTGTTAACCCTCGCAAGGCTGCCGGCCCAGACGTCTTCCCTAGCCACGCCCTCAGAGCATGTGCAGACCAGCTGGCTGTTGTGTTTTCTGAAATTTTCTCTCTAACTCAGGCCACTACCCCCACATGCTTCAAGATGTCCACTATCATCCCCGTGCCCAAGAAAGGGAAAGTAGCTGAACTGAAAGACTGTCGTCCCGTAGCACTCACCGCCGTCATCATGAATAGTGCTTCAAGAGGCTATTCAAAGACCATATCACCTCCTCCCTGCCCAACACACTCGACCCTCTCCAATTCGCCTACCACCCTGACAGATCCACAGATGATGCAATGGCCATTGCACTGCACACTGCCCTCACCACACCTGGACAAAAGGAATGCATATGTTAGGATGTGTTCATCGACTACAGCTCAACCTTCAATACTATAGTGCCCTCTAAGATCACCACAAAGCTCACAGCCCTGGGACTGAACTCCTCCCTTTGCAATTGGGTCCTGGACTTCCTAACGGACCGCCCCCAGGTGGTGAAGGTAGGCAACATTACCTCCTCGACACTGATTCTCAACATGGGGGCCACACAAGGGTGCGTCCTCAGTCCCCTCCTGTACTCCTTGTATACCGACGACTGCGTGGCCTCACACAGTTCCAACTCCATCCTCAAGTTCGCTGACGACACAACCGTAGTAGGCCTGATTACCAACAACGACGAGATGGCCTACACGGAGAAGGAAGGCACTCTGACTGCGTGGTGCCAGGTAAACAACCTCTACCTCAATGTCAGCAAAACAAAGGAGCTGATTGTGGACTTCAGGAGGAACCAGGCTGGGCACGCCCCCATCCTCATCAACAGGGCTGCCGTATAGATGGTCAAAAAGGATAAGTTCCTTGGCGTGCACATCCTCGAGAAGCTGAAATGGTCAAACCACACGGACACCGTGGTGAAGAAGGCACGTCAGCGACTCTTCAACCTCAGGATGCTGAAGAAATGTGGGCCTGTCCCAGAGGGCCCTCGCAGTGTTCTACAGAAGCACCATCGAGAGCATACTGCCGGGCTGCATTACAGCCTGGTACGGCAACTCCACCGCTGCGGACCACAAGGCATTACAGAGGGTGGTTCGCTCAGTCGAATGCACCATTGGGTACACACTGCCTGCCCTCCAGGACACCTACAACACCAGGTGTCACAGGAAGGCCAAGAAGATAATCAGGAACCCAAGCCACCCGAGCCACGGTCTGTTCTCCCTGCTTCCTTCACTCAGACGCGGGCAGTACAGGAGCATCAGGGCAATAACTGGAGGAGTGGCCAATAGTTTCTACCCCCAGACCATCAGGCTGCTGAACAGTCACTATCCTGTCTCCCTCCTGTCCCCCTCCTGTCTCCCTCCTGTCCCCCTCCTGTCTCCCTCCTGCCCCTCTCCTGCCCCCCTCCTGCCTCCCTCCTGTCCCCCTCCTGTCCCCCTCATGTCCCCCTCATGTCCCCCTCCTGTCCCCCTCCTGTCCCCCTCCTGTCTCCCTCCTGCCCCCCTCCTGTCCCCCTCCTGTCCCCCTCCTGCCTCCCTCCTGTCCCCCTCCTGTCCCCCTCCTGTCCCCCTCCTGTCCCCCTCCTGTCCCCCTCCTGCCTCCCTCCTGTCCCCCTCCTGCCTCCCTCCTGTCCCCCTCCTGCCACCCTACTTAATTAATCAATCAAGTACAAGGGAGGAGCGAAAACCCGCAGACACTCGGCCCTCCGTGGAATGAGTTTGACACGTGATCGAAATCTAAATAATCTAAATCAATCTTTGCTGTGCTTTGTTTAAACTGACATTATAAAATAAATATAATTGAATGAACCACATCAGTTAGCATCATTTAAATGAACATTAACACGAAAATCATTGCAAGTGTACCCATGCGTTTACCAGTCAATTTGCTAAGTTTAGAGGTTCCAGACCTATTATATTTCTATGTTCCCAACTCATAGGAATCCCCACCCAGTTGACTACTTTAAAATGGGAGAAGCCCTCAATGGCAATGTCCATGCTAAAATGGGTTATCTATCTCTATGACAACAGTCACAACTTCCGATAGTTGTTGTTTTTAACCCCAAAATTTGCGAGATGCCTTGTGTGTCCACTTATCAGTGCATTCGTAACAACCTACCCATTACAACACGTATATTCGGGCAAATAAGCCTCACCTAGCAAATTAACAATAAAATGTTTTGTTGACCAAATTCGACACTCATTTCCTCCATACAAAATTCCTCACTCGTGCGTGGGCTTACTTTCGTGGACAGATTTTGGGCTGAGTAAAACGTCTCGCTTCGCCTCTTTCTCTGGTATTTATTGCAATTCACACTCCGAGCTGTGAAAGGCAGCAGTACGTAATAAAGTGTCTAGTCCGAAAAACCACACGAAGAAGAAACGGTATCTCTGGAAACAGCCAACACTTTCAACCATTCCGCCAGTAGCCTTCTCTCGCAGTCAGTTTTTTATTCTTTTGTATCAACCATGTCTTTCGAACTCGCCTTTCGTTCTCGTGTTGCGTCCATTATGGAAACTTTGACAGCAACAGCCTTGCAAGACATCTGTCAATTTATGGGAGAAACGTATGCTGCTCTTCGAGTGGAAATGTTGCATGAACAAAACCAAAGTTCGAGGACAGAATTGCAGGCGATGGAGAATAGCATCGGGAAGGAGAAGCCAGCGAACAGGATGGAGAGCGTTCAAAAAGACGGTGAGATTAAATATCTACAGGTAGTTATGCCTATTGGCGATTTGTCTGTAGGAAGCTGGGATACAAATAGATACGTCGGCTAGCTAGCAGTCGCCTGTCTGTGCAGCCCCAGAGGGCGCTGTTATTACTGAGGGAACAATAGCGCCCTCTGCTGGACCTTCGGGATGCAGTCTGTGGGGGGCGCCCTACACCCCTAGTTGTGAAAAGGTGCTTTGCAAATACAGTCGTGGTCAAAGGTTTTGAGAATGACACAAGTATTGGTCTTCACAAAGTTCGCTGCTTCAGTGTTATGAGATATTTTTGTCAGATGTTACTATGGTATAATGAAGTATAATTACAAGCATTCCATAAGTGTCAAAGGCTTTTATTGACAATTACATTAAGTTTATGCAAAGAGTCAATATTTGCAGTGTTGACCCTTCTTTTTCAAGACCTCTGCAATCCGCCCTGGCATGCTGTCAATTAACTTCTGGGCCACATCCTGACTGATGGCAGCCCATTCTTGCATAATCAATGCTTGGAGTTAGTCAGAATTTGTGGGTTTTTGTTTGTCCACCCGCCTCTTGAGGATCGACCACAGGTTCTCAATGGGATTAAGGTCTGGGGAGTTTCCTGGCCATGGACCCAAAATGTTGATGTTTTGTTCCCCGAGCCACTTAGTTATCGCTTTTGCCTTATGTCAAGGTGCTCCATCATGTTGGAAAAGGCATTGGTCGTCACCAAACTGTTCTTGGATGGTTGGGAGAAGTTGCTCTCGGAGGATGTGTTGGTACCATTCTTTATTCATGGCTGTGTTCTTAGGCAAAATTGTGAGTGAGCCCACTCCCTTGGCTGAGAAGCAACCCCACACATGAATGGTCTCAGGATGCTTTACTGTTGGCATGACACAGGACTGATGGTAGCGCTCACCTTGTCTTCTCCGGACAAGGTGTTTTCCAGATGCCCCAAACAATCGCAAAGGGGATTCATCAGAGAAAATGACTTTACCCCAGTCCTCAGCAGTCCAATCCCTGTACCTCAGAATATCAGTCTGTCCCTGATGTTTTTCCTGGAGAGAAGTGGCTTCTTTGCTGTCCTTCTTGACACCAGGCCATCCTCCAAAAGTCTTCGCCTCACTGTTCGTGCAGATGCACTCACACCTGCCTGCTGCCATTTCTGAGCAAGCTCTGCACTGGTGGTGCCCCGATCCCGCATCTGAATCAACTTTAGGAGATGGTCCTGGCGCTTGCTGGACTTTCTTGGGCGCCCTGACGCCTTCTTCACAACAATTGAACCTCTCTCCTTGATAAATGGTTGATTTAGGTGCAATCTTACTAGCAGCAATCTCCTTGCCTGTGAAGCCCTTTTTGTGCAAAGCAATGATGACGGCACGTGTTTCCTTGCAGGTAACCATGGTTAACAGAGGAAGAACAATGATTTCAAGCACCACCCTCCTTTTAAAGCTTTCATTCTGTTATTCTAACTCAATCAGCATGACAGAGTGATCTCCAGCCTTGTCCTCGTCAACACTCCCACCTGTGTTAACGAGAGAATCACTGACATGATGGCAGCTGGTCCTTTTGTGGCAGGGCTGAAATGCAGTGGAAATGTTTTTTTGGGATTAAGTTCATTTTCATGGCAAAGAGGGACTTTGCAATTCATTGCAATTAATCTGATCACTCTTCATGACATTCTGGAGTACATGCAAATTGCCATCATCAAAACTGAGGCAGCAGACTTTGTGAAAATTAGTATTTGTGTCATTCTCAAAACTTTTGACCACGACTGTACTATGGTAAATGTATGCCATCATGACGAGTGGTGGCATATTTCCACTACATGTTTTGGTGAAATCTGAGCCTCATTATCCCTGTATGAACAACATTTTCAGACATTTTCATCTGTATTTGTATGTTAGCCCCCTCACCAGGTTTCAGAAACTTCCCAGTTGTGGAGCAAATCCTCAATGAACAAGAGGCCAATGGTCTTTGGCTAGAAGGTGACCCTACTGTGGAACACGAAGGTCCACAGTCACTGGTACCAGAGGAAGAACAGCCATCACAGGCTTTTGGTCAGATGACTGAAAAGGTGAGCGGAGCTTGTGCTCTGTCTGCCGAATTTGTAAGGGTAGATATGTCTCACAGAGACTACGCTCAGCCATATTTAATTGAAAACCATGTGAGCTCACGGCCAGCAAAAATGTCACGTCCTGTGTAGCAGGCCTGTAGCTGTAAATAGTATGTTAAGGCTTTGAATGACCCTTAGATAAACTCAATATACCATCTAGGCTACAGATAAACCTTTTTAAGGGCTGGTTTCACAAGGATTCTCATTTAAGCATAAAACATGCCCTTCCAAGTATATTTATTCGTGTTAAATATATTCCATGATTTGTCTTCAACATATTCCATTATTTTAGTGTCATTCCCCTGCTGTATTATGTTTTGTAATGGAAAACCCCTACAACAAGATGGTTGTAACTGTTGCTGTATGATCTACTGGCCTAAAGGCTGATAAGAGTTCATAACAGCATTGGTTGTCTTTTGGAAGGGAGTGGAGACATGGTCAGCACCACTGGTCATTAAACAGGAGGAAACGGATGATGATGACATGGAGTCTCAAGGTCAGTTGATAGTTATTATTGTCTATGTTCAAGCTCTGCAGCGTGAGCTACAGCGCCATCAGAAAGTATTCAAACCCCTTGACTTATTCCACATTTTGTTGTTACAGCCTGAATTCGAAAATGGATTCAATCAATTTTGTTCTCACCCATCTACACACAATACCCCATAATGACAAAGTGAAAACATGTTTTAAGAAATGTTTACAATGTTATTGAGCATGAAATACAAAAATCTCATTTACATACACTACATGACCAAAAGTATGTGGACACCTGCTTGTCGAACGTCTCATTCCAAAATCATGGGCATTAATATGGAGTTGGTCCCCCCCTTTGCTGCTATAACAGCCTCCACTCTCCTGGGAAGGCTTTCCACTAGATGTTGGAACATTGCTGTGGGGACTTGCTTCCATTCAGCCACAAGAGCATTAGTGATGTCGGGCACTGATGTTGGGCAATTAGGCCTGGTTCGCAGTCGGCATTCCAATTAATCCCAAAGGTGTTCGATGGGGATTGAGGTCAGGGTTCTGTGCAGGGCAGTCAAGTTCTCCCACACCGAGCACGACAAACCATATCTGTATGGACCTCGCTTTGTGCACGGGGGCGTTGTCATGCTGAAACAGGAAAGGGCCTTCCCCAAACCGTTGCCACAAATTTGGAAGCACAGAATCGTCTAGAATGTAATTGTATGCTGTAGCGTTAAGATTTCCCTTCAATGGAACTAAGGGGCCTAGCCCAAACCATGAAAAACAGACCCAGACCATTATTCCTCCTCCACCAAACTTTACAGTTGGCACTATGCATTGGGGCAGGTAGCATTCTCTTGGCGTACGCCAAACCCAGATTCGTCCGTCGGACTGCCAGATGGTGAAGCGTGATTCATCACTCCAGAGAACACGTTTCCACTACTCCAGAGTCCAATGGCGGCGAGCTTTACAACACTCCAGCCAATGCTTGGCATTGCACATGGTGATCTTAGGCTTGTGTGCGGCTGCTCGGCCATGGAAACCCATTTCATGAAGCTCCCGACAAACAGTTATTGTGCTGACGTTGCTTCCAGAGGCAGTTTGGAACTCGGTAGTGAGTGTTGCAACCGAGGACAGGCAACTTTTATGCGCTACGCGCTTCAGCACTTGGCGGTCCCGTTCTGTGAGCTTGCGTGGCCTACCACTTCACGGCTGAGCCGTTGTTGCTCCTAGACGTTTCCACTTCACAATAACAGCACCTACAGTTGACCGGCGCAGCTCTAGCAGGGCAGAAATTTGACAAACTGACTTGTTGGAAAGGTGGCATTCTATGACGGTGCCACGTTGAAAGTCACCGAGCTCTTCAGTAAGGCCATTCTACTGACAATGTTTGTCTATGGAGATTGCATGGCTGTGTGCTGGATTTTATACACCTGTCAGCAACGGGTGTGGCTGAAATAGCCGATTCCACTAATTTGAAGGGGTGTCCACATACTTTTCTATATATAGTGTACCTGACCGGCCGGACCTACCTACCTACAGTAAGTATTCACACCCCTGAGTCAATAATTTGTTGAAGCACCTTTGGCAGCGATTACAGCTTTGGGTCGTCTTGGGTATATCTACCAGCTTTGTGCATCTGGATTTCGGTATTTTCTCTCATTCTTTAATGCAGAGTTTCTCAAGCTCTGTTAAATTAGATGGGGAGCGGTGGTGAACAGCAATCTTTAAGTATTTCCACAGATTGTCAATGGGATTCCAGTCTGGGCTTTGGCTGGGCCACTTAAGGACTTTTACATTCTTGTTCTGAAGCCATTCCAGCATTGCTTTGGCTGTATACTTGGGGTCATTGTCCTGTTGGATCGTAAATCTTCGCCCCCCCAGTCTGTCGTTTGCACTCTGAAGCAGGTTCTCATCAAGGATTTGTCTGTTATCATTGTTCCCTCTATCCTTTCCAGTCTCCCAGTCCCTGGCGCTGAAAAGTGTCCCCATAGCATGATGCTGCCACCACCATGCTTCATGGTAGGGATGGTGTTAGACGGGTGATGAGCTGTGCCTGGTTTTCTACAGACATAGCGCTTTGCATTCAGGCCAAAGAGTAAAATGTTGGTCTCATTAGACCACAGAATCTTTTGCCTTATGCTCTGTCTTTCACGTGCCCTTTTGTAAACTCCAGTCTTGCTGTCATTTGCCTTTTTCTCAGGAGTGGCTTCAATCAGGTCACTCTCCCATAAAGCCCAGATTGGTGAAGTGCTGTAGAGACTGTTGTCCTTCTGGCAGGTTCTCCCATCTCTTTGGGTTCTTGGTCACCTCCCTGGCCAAGGTCCTTCTTGCCCGGTTGCTCAGTTTGGTCTGACGGACAGTTCTAGGCAGAGTCTGGGTAGTTCCATATTTTTTCCATTGCGGAATGCTGGAGACCACTTTGCTCTTGGAAACGTTCAATACTCTAGAAATTGTTTTATACCCTTACCCAGATATACACTGTGTGCACAATTATTAGGCAAGTCAGTATTTTGACCATATCATTATTATGCATATTTCCCAACTCCAAGCTGTATAAACTGGAATGCTTATTGGATTTAAGCATATCAGGTGATGTTTATTTGTGTAATGAGGGAGGGTGTGGCCTAAGGAGATCAACACCCTATATCAAAGTGTGTATAATTATTAGGCAGCTTATTTTCCTCAGGCAAAATGGGCCAAGAAAGAGATTTAACTGACTCTGAAAAGTCAAAAATTGTAAAAAGTATTTCAGAGGGATGCAGAACCATCAAACATTTAGTTGCAAATACTCAACAGGGTCGCAAGAACCGTGTTGAGAAAAAAAAGACGCAAATTAACTGCCAGAGATTTGAGAAGAATCAAACATGAAGCTACCAGGAACCCATTATCCTCCAGTGCTGTCATATTCCAGAACTGCAACCTACCTGGAGTGCCCAGAAGTACAAGGTGTTCGGTGTTCAGTGCTCAGAGACATGGCCAAGGTAAGGAAGGCTGAAACCCGACCACCACTGAACAAGACACATAAGTTGAAATGTCAAGACTGGGCCAAGAAATATCTGAAGACAGATTTTTCAAAGGTTTTATGGACTGATGAGATGAGTGACTCTTGACGGACCAGATGGATGGGCCCGTGGCTGGATCAGTAACGGGCACGGAGCTCCACTTCGACTCAGACGCCAGCAAGGTGGAGGTGGGGTACTGGTATGGGCTGGTATTATTAAAGATGAGCTAGTTGGACCTTTTCGGGTTGAAGATGGACTCAAACTCAACTCCCAAACCTACTGCCAGTTTTTAGAAGACACTTTCTTCAAGCAGTGGTACAGGAAAAAGTCTGCATCTATCAAGAAGACCATGATTTTTATGCAGGACAATGCTCCATCGCATGCATCGAAGTACTCCACTGCGTGGCTAGCCAGTAAAGGCCTTAAAGATTAAAGAATAATGACATGGCCCCCTTCCTCACCTGACCTAAACCCTATTGAGAACTTGTGGTCCCTTCTTAAACGGTCGATTTACAGTGAAGGAAAACAGTACCCCTCTCTGACCAGTGTCTGGGAGGCTATGGTTGCTGCTGCACAAAAAGTTGATTGTCAACAGATCAAGAAACTGATAGACTCCATGGATGGAAAGCTTATGACTGTTATTGAAAAGAAGGGTGGCTATATTGGTCACAGATTTTTTTTGTTGTTGTTGAAATGTCAAATGTTTATTTGTAAATTTTGAGTTGTTTGTTTATTATTCTCACTTTAACAGATGAAAATAAACACGTGAGATGGGGAACTTTTCGTTTTTCATTTAGTTGCATAATAATTCTGCACACTAATAGTTGCCCAATAATTGTGCACACATAGATATTCTCCAAAGAAAGCCAAAACCTCACTTTTACTTTCTTAAATATTCAGGTTTGAGGTTTATTAACATTTTGGATTGACCGAGAGCACTGTAGTTGTTCAATAATAAAAGTAATCCTCAAACATACAACTTGCCTAAATTGTGCACACAGTGTATGGCATATCATAATTCTATCAGATCTACGGACAGTTCCTTGGACTTCATGGTATAGTTTCTGCTCTGACATGCACTGTCCACTGTGGTACCTTTATATAGACAGAGGTGAGTTCAGTTCGCTTGAACCTTTGCTACGTTGCGGAATGGTTTATACTGAACGACACGTTTCCCCCAAAACGTTCTTGAACAGACTTTTGAGGTATGTTTGCTCCTGTTTGGTGGGTGTGGCGAGGGCAGTGGCAATGCTGACAGCGTTCCACAACCAATTACATATGCCCACAATCCAACACCTCCCCGTTTTTCAACTGGTCGTTCAGTACAGCACCGTTTCCGTTCAATTGAATGTTCCAGAACAAGAAAACGTACTGAACGCAGCCCAGGTGTGTTTCTTTATAATTCATGTCTAAACAATTGAATTGGCCACAGGTGGACTCAATTAAGTTGTAGCAACGTCTCAAGGATGATTAAATGAAATTGGATGCACCTGAGCTCAATTTGGAGTGTCATAGCAAAGGGGTGTGAATACCTATGTAAATTAGATTTCTGTATTTCATTTTCAATAAATGTGCAAAAATGTATAAACATTTTTTTCACTTTTTCATTATGGGGTATTGGATGTAGATGGGTATGTGTGTGTATATATATATATATATATATATATATATATATATATATATATATATATATATATATATATATTTAATCATTTTGAAATCAGGCAACAAAATGTGGAGTAAGGCAAGGGGTATGACTACTTTCTGAAAGTATTTAGTCAGCCACCAATTGTGCAAGTTCTCCCACTTAAAAAGATGAGAGAGGCCTGTAATTTTCATCATAGGTACACGTCAACTATGACAGACAAAATGAGAAAAAAATCCAGAAAATCACATTGTAGGATTTTTAATGAATTTATTTGCAAATTATGGTGGAAAATAAGTATTTGGTCACCTACAAACAAGCAAGATTTCTGGCTCTCACAGACCTGTAACTTCTTCTTTAAGAGGCTCCTCTGTCCTCCACTCGTTACCTGTATTAATGGCACCTGTTTGAACTTGTTGTCAGTATAAAAGACACCTGTCCACAACCTCAAACAGTCACACTCCAAACTCCACTATGGCCAAGACCAAAGAGCTGTCAAAGGACACCAGAAACAAAATTGTAGACCTGCACCAGGCTGGGAAGACTGAATCTGCAATAGGTAAGCAGCTTGGTTTGAAGAAATCAACTGTGGGAGCAATTATTAGGAAATGGAAGACATACAAGACCACTGATAATCTCCCTCGATCTGGGGCTCCACGCAAGATCTCACCCCGTGGGGTCAAAATGATCACAAGAACGGTGAGCAAAAATCCCAGAACCACACGGGGGGACCTAGTGAATGACCTGCAGAGAGCTGGGACCAAAGTAACAAAGCCTACCATCAGTAACACACTACGCCGCCAGGGACTCAAATCCTGCAGTGCCAGACGTGTCCCCCTGCTTAAGCCAGTACATGTCCAGGCCCGTCTGAAGTTTGCTAGAGTGCATTTGGATGACCCAGAAGAGGATTGGGAGAATGTCATATGGTCAGATGAAACCAAAATATAACTTTTTGGTAAAAACTCAACTCGTCGTGTTTGGAGGACAAAGAATGCTGAGTTGCATCCAAAGAACACCATACCTACTGTGAAGCATGGGGGTGGAAACATGCTTTGGGGCTGTTTTTCTGCAAAGGGACCAGGACGACTGATCCGTGTAAAGGAAAGAATGAATGGGGCCATGTATCGTGAGATTTTGAGTGAAAACCTCCTTCCATCAGCAAGGGCATTGAAGATGAAACGTGGCTGGGTCTTTCAGCATGACAATGATCCCAAACACACCGCCCGGGCAACGAAGGAGTGGCTTCGTAAGAAGCATTTCAAGGTCCTGGAGTGGCCTAGCCAGTCTCCAGATCTCAACCCCATAGAAAATCTTTGGAGGGAGTTGAAAGTCTGTGTTGCCCAGCGACAGCCCCAAAACATCACTGCTCTAGAGGAGATATGCATGGAGGAATGGGCCAAAATACCAGCAACAGTGTGTGAATACCTTGTGAAGACTTACAGAAAACGTTTGACCTGTGTCATTTCCAACAAAGGGTATATAACAAAGTATTGAGAAACTTTTGTTATTGACCAAATACTTATTTTCCACAATAATTTGCAAATAAATTCATTAAATATCCTACAATGTGATTTTCTGGAGAAAAAAATTCCTCATTTTGTCTGTCATAGTTGACGTGTACCTATGATGAAAATTACAGGCCTCTCTCATCTTTTTATGTGGGAGAACTTGCACAATTGGTGGCTGACTAAATACTTTTTTCTCCCACTGTAGCTTCTGTAATGGCCAATATGATGAGTCACTGTGAAACATCCCTGTGAAATGTATTGTTGGTGACTTCCTTTCCAGGTTACAGTGAGTGGATTCCAGAGACTCACAAGGCCAACCAGAATATCACAGGAGAAAGTGATGAGGAAGAGAGAAGTCAAGCCTCTGGGGGATCCAAAGAACTTGGAGTCGAGGTCTTCAAGAGAGAACAGAATCTGTTGCTGGTGTCAACTGAGGATCCTCCGGCACCCGTAAAGAAGAAGAAATATAAGACAAGGTACACCTGTAAAATATGTGGGAAGACTGGGACCAAGAAATGCATGACAAGTCACATGATAACACACCCAGGGACTTTTAGTTGTGATATCTGTGGTGAGAAATTCAAGCATCAGATCGGCTTGAACAAGCACAAGCGACTCAAACACAGTGTGAAAACCTACAGTTGCTCTGTGTGCGGAAAGATGTTTTTATATTCTAAACAGCGCGACAACCATGAGCGCAAACACATTGGAGAAGACTACTGGTGCTCAGGCTGTGACAAGACATTCAAGGAGCGCCAGGATCGTGACAATCACGAGTGCATTGTTTACAAGGGAGAACGGCCCTTCAGCTGCTCCGAGTGTAACGAAGACTTTCAAAGGCAGTACCATCTCAAAAAACACCAGATGGAAAAACACCCTCTATTGGTGGAGCAGACTGTCAGCTGTAAACCCACTTGTTCTGTGTGTGGAAAAGTGTTCATGTACATCAAATGGTTAATCAGGCATGAGCGCATTCACAGGGAAAAAAATGAGCGCAGGGATCGTGACGCGCACAAGTCCATTGTTGAAGATCCTATCAACGAACAACTTGAGTCAAAGGACCGAGAGGGTCAGTTTGAGTCAGCTGAGAGTTCTGAGGCACCCATAAGGAGTGAACCGATACGATACACCTGTGAAATATGTGGAACAACTTGGGCGACTAAAAGTAACATGCGCTGTCACATGGTAATACACAGAAAGATGCACTATACCTGCGATGTCTGTGGCAAGGTATTTAGGCTCAAATCCCCTTTCACCATACATCAGCTCAGACACAAGGGATTTAAAAATCAGTACCAGCTTAAAAAACACCAGCTTGAAAAGCACCCTTTAAAGGTGGACCAGCCATGTTCTAATCATGATACTGCCGTGGTAGTTCAGGGAGCACAGCCTTCTATTGACAGTGACCTAAAGCCAGATATGAGTGCCCTAGGTGGTCAAGTTCAGGTCCCACAGCTTGAGTTGAACAATGATCACAGTAACAATGTCAAAATCTACATGAGTGCTCCTATAGAAGTCGAGGAAGCACAGCCTACGCACGAAAATGACTGCTCCCTTTTGGTCCCCACTGAAGATGACAAGTTAAATGGCTTCAACTGAATGAAGTTGTTTTGTAAAGTATGAAAAGGATAGACCTGAATAAAGGGGCGACAGATAGTGGGGAAATAGTATGTAGAACAGTGACAGGACTGGGATTCAACGGGACTGGAATTCGATGGGACTGGCTGGGGATTACATATGCACAGAGGGCGGTGGCCTTCACTGTACATCTTTCTTCAGGCACCTGGATTATTTGTTTTTTAAGCAATTGTTTTATTCTAATCCTCATGCAAATTTATTTTAGGCTATATTTTGTTACTTGCAGTTTTCCTTTCATGACAATAAAACGTATTTGAATCTGGAGAGAAGAGTCTAATTGCGGCCTGCAATTCGTGGTTTTCCTGCATGTGGGTGTTCATGCATCTGCAGGAACCTCTCTTTATACTTCTATTGGTCCATTTTTAAGCTACAACTCCAGGTACACAGACTGGTGGCGGGGTTCCTGTGAAGAAAGTTGACAAGGAAGTGAGTTTGTGTCAATGCGGAGCTATGTGGGGGAAATCCAGAATATTAAGGGTGTGTTTGTAAATTCAGAGCATTGAGCGAGCATTCTGACCTCTCAACGGCAGTCAAGCACCCAAGCCAACTGGCTAGCTTGCTAGCTACTTCCAGACACAAATGAGAGAACACCTCACACTGACCATTTAACTCGCAGTAGCAAAGCTTGTTAGGCTGTTTTCATGTTATCCAGAGGGTTGGTAACTGCTGCTGGCAACAATTTAATTACGCATTTTTTGCTGACGTTTACTGACACCGGACAGATTTCAACAGGTGTTGAGCGTTTAGTAAATTCATCAGTTATTCTGCGCTCTGTAACACTCAGACAAGAGTGCTCTGAAATCGGAGTAGATGGCAAGAGTGAATTTAAGTGTCACTTAAAGAAGCCACATGCAAGAACGCCCGAATTGCGAGCAGCAATCACACACTATTGCATCTGGAGAGCAAGGGTTGGTTGTACAGTCAATGTAAATCAAAATGATGGAATTGATAGATCTTTCTTCAGACTTATCAGTTGATCCAGTAACAGCTTTCCTTTTTAAGGGTTTTTCAAATTGACATGTATTTTTATTTGATTGATATCTTGACATGATCATTTTACAACACAAATATTGATATCTGGTCAAAATTAAGGAGGCAGATAAACAAGTATGTATGGTATGTCACAGGCTCAACCTCTTCGGCAGTCCGGAACGAAACGACCAACCCCGACTCAACTGCGTCAGTAATTTCGTTCTCTCACTGTGAGAATCTCAAATGCTCCTCCTCGCGTCTGTTCTCCTCAAAATTAATTGGAGGATAAGGTCAGAATGGCGGGACCTCTGGCTTCTTCTTCTGTTGGTTTTATGACGGACTACAACACAAAAAGGTGTATTGCTGCCACCAACTGGACAGGTTGAAACCAAAACAAGGTAAAAAATAAAATACATACGTGATAGGGAAACTAACTTAATCCACCCAAATAAAATAGGGCCTGAGAGGGTGGTACTGCTTGTGACAATATTCCATGTAACTCCTTTGCTGAGAAATATTTCAGCCCCAGGAACCGCTCCGACGCTTCCACAATGATTTCTATCTTCCTGGACCTTCTCTCCACCTTGGCAGTGCCATTTATCACCATAGCAATAAAGGCCACAAAGTCCACCCACTTAACCTTTAAAATGTCAGGATCCTGCTGGTGAAAGGCAACACCTGCAGCCTGCAGTGAAGGCCTATCCTCCACTATGGACTCTTCAAGTGCACCATTCAAACCCTCAACCTTTTTAACAGCTGCTGCATATGATATGCTCTGGATAGCCCTGACTTTGGCCACCTCATTCTCTTTCACCCTTGTGGGGCATTCGAAAGACGTGGCTTCATGGTTCCCACCACAATTGCAACATGTCACATTTTCATCACTTTTATAACACATAATATGATATTTTCCTCAACTTGGACATCTCTGCTTCTCCCTTCTGCAAACACTTGAAACATGACCAAAAGCTGTACAATGATCACACTGCATTGGTCTTGGGATAAATGCTCTGACTGTAGTTAAGATACCCTAACTGCACTTAAGTAGGGAGAGACTCCATATCAAAATAACAGATAGAATCTTCACTTTTTCTTCATTCACCACACAATTCATCTGACGTGCATCAATCACTCCAGGAATATTTTTCATCTCTTCAACATCTACTTCCCACGAGACTCCATATATAACCCCTTTGAGGGGTGCCCTGTTCCTACGAGACACGACACGTCAAACTTATCAAATTGGTTGAGACTCAACACACGTTTATTCTGATCCTCAGAAGCACAAAAAATCAAAACCAGCACGCCTCTCATGATCCTCACAGCCTTCACTCTACCCAGCACTCTCTCCACCTGTTTTTTTTTTTTTTTTTTACCTTGTTTTGGTTTCAACCCGTCCAGTTTGTGGCGGCAATACACCTTTTTGGGTTGTAGTTCGCCATAAACCCACAGAAGAAGGGAGGCAGGATCAGTGGAGTAGAATAGATCCCTTGCACACGACACCTAAATGAATTGGGTCGATAAATCAGTATTTACGGTAGACTACCGTCATAACCTCTGCCACCCGGAAGTAAACAATGAAACGCTAACGGCTAGCGAGCTGCACACATAAGATAAACAATATCGCCGAAGATTTACACAGAAATATAGCTACTGCTTTTCGATGACATGACAATTTTACTCTACAAACCACTCATCCAATACATTTAATGTGTAATCTTTGAGTGAAGTAACGTTAAGAGATAATGTCGAATTCTGTACATTTTCACTCTCAGCTCGCCTCCATCATGGAGGTATTGGCTAACGCGGCAGTGGCAGAAATCTGCCAGCTTGTAGACGATGGCTATTCCGTGTTGCGCCTTGAAATATCGAGAACTCAGAGCGAAAACCAGGCTTTGAAGAGCAAACTACGCCTGGTTGAGGTTCGTTCTAGAGAACGGTCTGTCAAAAGAAGCCTCGTGCCCCCTTTGACGAGCTGTTCTGGTGCGAAAGGAACAGGTGAGTTTATTTTGTTTCCCAATGCAATGATAAACAATGCTGTCTGAGTTTTGGTGCAGGAAATACTATTTGTGCACTGCAGGTTCTCAGTGCCGTGCATCTCGTGAATGTATTGTTTTTCCACTCCGATATAGATCATGTTGGAGAGAAGCAGTCCACCAGTGGAAGGAGAAATGGAGGATCCGTGGTGTTTGGGGACAGGAGTATTAGGACTGTCAGTGAGGAGGTTAGTAGATTCTAAGCTACATATCTGATATAGTTGCAGCTAAATACACTGCTCAAAAAAATAAAGGGAACACTTAAACAACACATCCTACATCTGAATGAAAGAAATTATCTTATTAAATACTTTTTTCTTTACATAGTTGAATGTGCTGACAACAAAATCACACAAAAATTATCAATGGAAATCAAATTGATCAACCCCATGGAGGTCTGGATTTGGAGTCACCCTCAAAATTAAAGTGGAAAACCACACTACAGGCTGATCCAACTTTGATGTAATGTCCTTAAAACAAGTCAAAATGAGGCACAGTAGTGTGTGTGGCCTCCACTACAACGCCTGGGCATGCTCCTGATGAGGTGGCGGATGGTCTCCTGAGGGATCTCCTCCCAGACCTGGACTAAAGCATCCGCCAACTCCTGGACAGTCTGTGGTGCAACGTGGCGTTGGTGGATGGAGCAAGACATGATATCCCAGATGTGCTCAATTGGATTCAGGTCTGGGGAACAGGCGGGCCAGTCCATAGCATCAATGCCTTCCTCTTGCAGGAACTGCTGACACAGTCCAGCCACATGAGGTCTAGCATTGTCTTGCATTAGGAGGAACCCAGGGCCAACCGCACCAGCATATGGTCTCACAAGGGGTCTGAGGATCTCATCTCGGTACCTAATGGCAGTCAGGCTACCTCTGGCGAGCACATGGAGGGCTGTGCGGCCCCTCCAAAGAAATGCCACCCCACACCATGACTGACCCACCACCAAACCGGTCATGCTGGAGGATGTTGCAGGCAGCAGAACGTTCTCCACAGCGTCTCCAGACTCTGTCACGTCTGTCACATGTGCTCAGTGTGAACCTGCTTTCATCTGTGAAGAGCACAGGGCGCCAGTGGCGAATTTGCCAATCTTGGTGTTCTCTGGCAAATGCCAAACGTCCTGCACGGTGTTTAAGCCCAACCCCACCTGTGTACGTCGGGCCCTCATACCACCCTCATGGAGTCTGTTTCTGACCGTTTGAGCAGACACATGCACATTTGTGGCCTGCTGGATGTCATTTTGCAGGGCTCTGGCAGTGCTCCTCCTGCTCCTCCTTGCACAAAGGCGGAGGTAGCGGTCCTGCTGCTGGGTTGTTGCCCTCCTACGGCCTCCTCCACGTCTCCTGATGTATTGGCCTGTCTCCTGGTAGCGCCTCCATGCTCTGGACACTACGCTGAGAGACACAGCAAACCTTCTTGCCACAGCTCGCATTGATGTGCCATCCTGGATGAGCTGCACTACCTGAGCTCAACCTACTTGTGTGGGTTGTAGACTCCGTCTCATGCTACCACTAGAGTGAAAGCACCGCCAGCATTCAAAAGTGACCAAAACATCAGCCAGGAAGCATAGGAACTGAGAAGTGGTCTGTGGTCACCACCTGCAGAACCACTTCTTTATTGGGGGTGTCTTGCTAATTGCCTATAATTTCCACCTGTTGTCTATTCTATTTGCACAACAGCATGTGAAATTTATTGTCAATCAGTGTTGCTTCCTAAGTGGACAGTTTGATTTCACAGAAGTGTGATTGACTTGGAGTTACATTGTGTTGTTTAAGTGTTCCCTTTATTTTTTTGAGCAGTGTATATTGCCACCCTTGCACTTCTTTTAATAATTCCCAATTTCTTAAAAAATAAGTACAAATAAAAACGTTGGTCACCACACCTTTTTGGATTTTCAACATTGCTTATTTTTGTAAATTTCAACATTGCTTATTTTTTTTAATTGAAGTGGACAATGGCATGGACAAAATTATTGGTACCCCGGAGCTCGTACTTGGTTGCACAGCCTTTGGCCAAGATAACTGCAGACAAACGCTTCTTGTAGCTATCAATGAGCTTGCTGCACCTTTCTACAGTTTTCAGCCGTAAACTGCTATAATTGTTCAATATTGGAGGGATGCCCTCCACCAACTGCTGTTTTTAGATCTCGCCATAGGTTTTTGATGTGATTCAGATCTGGACTCTTTGCTGGCCACTCCAGAACATTCCAGCCTCTCTTCTTAACCATTCCTGGTTGCTTGTGTGTGTGTTTGGGGTTGTTGTCCTGCTGGAAGACCCATAACCTTCAACAGAGACCCAGTTTTTGGACACTGGGTTTAACATTGGACTACAAAACACCTGAATCTGCTGATGTCATGATGCCTTGCACACTACCAGAGGTAGCAAGGCAACCCGCCAGCATTATCAAACCTCCACCATACTTTGATTGTAGGGAGGGTGTTCTTTTCATTGAATGTTTAATTTGGTCGTCAGTGAACACAGCGCTGATCTGTATTGCCAAAGAGTTCAAATGTTTTTTTTATTGGTCCACAGAACGTTTAGGTGGGTTTTTGAGAAGTTAAATCAGGCTTTCTTGTGTCTCCTTCAGCAGTGGGATCTTCCTATCTTTACCAACGACCAAACAAAGCGTTCAAAGAAAATAACACCCTCCCTACAATCAATTATGGGGGAGGTTTGACAATGCTGTGGGGTTACTTTGCTGCCTTGAATGTGTGCAAGACATCAAGAAATCAGCAGATTATCAAGGTGTTTAGGAACGCAATATTCAACCCAGTGTCTCTGTTGAAGGTCATTGGTCTTCCAGTAGCCAAAAACACCCTGGAATGGTTCAAGAAGAAACGCTGGACTGTTCTGGAGTGGCCAGTGAAACTGAAGTTTACAAAAATGACATTGATTCTGCAATGTTGAAAGTCCAATAAGGTGTGGTGACCAAAAGTTATTAAAAAAATATATAATAATTTCAACTTATTTTAGAATAAATAGGGAATTATTTAAGAAGAGCGCACTCCAACTTTACTTATAGACTGTGTGGTTATTACAGTAGGACCGTTAAGAGTTCAGTCCGATTCCTCCTTTTGTTTTGCAGACCCTTGACACGACTGAGCATCCTGAGGTAGTGGTTGTGAAGGAGGAGGAACTGGAAGTGGAGCTGAGAGACTGTGGCTCAAAGCATAACCATCAGCCCAGGACACTGAGTAGGTACAACACTTAACCAATATGATGGGGCCATAATGGTCTGGTTGCAAAAAGTGGTCCTCTGTAGCTCAGCTGGTAGAGCACGGCGCTTGTAACGCCAAGGTAGTGGGTTCGATCCCCGGGACCACCCATACACAAAAATGTACGCACGCATGACTGTAAGTCGCTTTGGATAAAAGCGTCTGCTAAATGGCATATTATTATTATTATTACACAATCGCATGAAAGTCATGTTTTATCGTCTCTCTCATTCTTGTCCTCAGTTAGTGTGTCTCAGTCTCACGTTGCTGTGAACGACCAAATCCTGAATGTAGAAACTTCACCTGTGGAGGTCGGTGAGGAGAAACGGGACGCCGACAACCAGAGGCTCCAACAGACCGCAAATGGACACAGCACGGCACTCCAGCACACACACAGCTCGGACTGTGTGACATATCAGAGAGACCTTCATACAGCAGCTGGCCTCTCTCGTATAGAGGATGGCAGAGACATGCTTGATCCGTCTTGTTCTTATTCGGTGGAAACGGACTCTACTAAGTCACTTGATGCCCAGCCGCCCCTGAATCAGAGTGGGGTCGCGACCTTGTGTGACAGCATGGCTTCCTCTGCCTCACTGGGCTGGAAGCAGGAGGCCGGAGGAGTTGACACTCTTAAAATGGAGGCGGGAATGCCCTCCTGGACCAAAGGGAGAGCTATGGGAATGGGCCAGGCTGCTCAGTGTGGAGTTGACATACCTGGGAAGGACGGGGAGGGTGTTCAGCTGGGGAACGGCACAAACGTCTGTTCTCAGAATAACATTAACTTGAGGGAGAGCGAGTCATTAGAAGGGCGCAAGTCCAGCGAACCGGACACAAAAGGATTCGATACCTCCCTAGACTATTTTTTCTCTCCGTCGGAAATGGACGGGATACAGACTCACCACCAAGGTGACGGCGCCGGAGGCGAGGAGCTGGCCTCTTGTCCGTATCCTGGCAACGACGGTTTCGTCAGCCCTACAAACTCGACACAAGGAGGCCTCCTCTTCTCAAACAGACTATTAAACTGCCAGGAATGTGGGCGGCTGTTCTCCAACTCGCTAGACCTCGCACTGCACCAAAGAATTCACATGGGGGAGAAACTCTTTAGCTGCGCCCAGTGTGACAAGCAGTTCCTGCACCTGCACCAGCTCAAGACCCACCAGAGAATACACACCAGGGAGAAACCATTTAGCTGCACCCAATGCGGGAAGCGCTTCTCCCAATCCAGCCACATCAAGAGACACATGAGCGTTCACACGGGAGAAAAGCGGTTCGGCTGCAGCGTATGTGGGAAGAGGTTTTCGCAATCCTGTAGCCTCAAAGTGCACCAGATCGTCCACACAGGAGAGAGACCGTTCAGCTGCACTCAGTGCGGGAAGAGTTTCTCAGTGCTCGGGAACCTAATGAGGCACCAGAGTGTTCACAGTAGAAAGCAGGATTAAGTCTTGAATAATAATGGACAATGCATTCTGTTTATATCGTGTTGGTAAAATATTATGGATATAATGAGTTTTTTGTACATCATGCATGGTAAACATTGTTGTTTTGTGATAATAGTGTGAAGTGAACTGATGTCTCTTGGTGTGATGTGAACATATTAAAACATTCCCCCTGAAAATGAATGTGGAGTTAGCGTGCTTGTTCAGTGCATTGAATAAAAAAACTGCTCCAAGTCACTAAATGATGAGCCTATTGCTGACAAACCTCTACTACATCATCGAAAGGCTTCTCTGCAAACGTGGGTTGTCAATAATTATTCCCATTCTGTTGGGTAAGGCTTATGATTAATCATTTTAAATTCAATGAAAAATATTGGCTTTGTGTGTAAACTCTCGTGCAGTTTTTATTTTGTTTTTTTTGTTTGAATAATTCTGTCCTGTCTCCACTTTCAAACTCGGAAGGTGGCGGTAATGTCCTAAAACATTGAATTCTACAGTCAAACAAGAAGAGAGCTACGTCATCAACCGGCGACCCGATAGCATACTTCCAGACCCGAAGCAGGATCGTTATTCAACAATAACAAGCTAGGGCTTTACATAAGTATTCTAACTAGTATAATCAGCAGACATTTTAAAGAAACGTTAGGCAATTTGGCTTAAGTATTTCGGTTGTAGACTAAACGGTGCATGAAGAGCAGAAATGGCAACAATGGCGGACTGTGTTGGTTATCAATTGCAGATAGCTTCGATAATGGAGGTGCTAGCCAATTCGGCGGTGGTCGAAATCTGCAAAATTGTTGATGATGGTTATAACTCTCTGCGTTCCCAAATGGAGCAGGAAAGAGTGCAAATTGAGAGGGAGAGAGAGCAAACCGAGAAAGAGAAATATGTCCTCCGACGAAAATTACGCGAAATGGACGTGAAGATGCGGAGCTATGAGCGAAGACTCAGAAGACGCGACCTACGGAATGAAATGCATGCAATTAATTTTAGACCACATGAAGGTACCGACAGTTTATTATATTTTAAAACAAAAATGGTTATAAACAGGGCTGGGTAGGTTACTTTCTAAATGTAATCCGTTACTAGTTACCTGTCAAATTGTAATCAGCAACGTAATTTTGGGATTGTAATGTAATCTGATTACTTTCCCCTTAAAATGCATTAGAATTTAAAAAGGAGTATTACCAATTGAACCACGTCTATTGCAGGATAAATCAATGTTAGTGTTCATAGCTGGCCATAAATGGATGTTGCATTTTACAGTATGGGTTGGTTATGTAGGCTGCTTCTAACCAATTGCTTTCTACTAGATAATAATACAATTAGGTTATATCTTTACATTAAAAAACAAAGTCTGTCAGAATAGGACTTGAAATATGGAAATATAGATTAGCCAAATTGTTTAACCTGAGCATAACCCCAAAACGAAGGATGTATTAGCCTACTCTGTTGTTTATCTTGTCATGGAGGACTGATTGGGCCCATTGCTTCGAGTTGAAAAAGAAATGCTGCTCTTATGGAATGGCACGAAAAGTGCTATTTGCATGTGAAAAATGAAGCCATCTGCTGCGTAGGCCTATTGTTTATGTTTTTGTTGCTGACACTTTGTTATTTCCATAATTTGCAACTGTTTACATCTATTAAAAGTTATACTGCACTGTAACTGCAGTTATACTGCAAAATTACTGCAGTAAAGAAAACTTATTTTCAACACAGTATTTACAACATACTGCACTCTGACTGCAATCTTTTTTTGTAAGGGCATTTTCGGGGAATCAGCACAAATTAGATTGAGCAATAAAAGCCCCACTCGTGGTCTTCTTAAATTAAACTTGTTTTTGACAGTATGGAGCACAATACCACAGAGAAGTTTAGAAGGGAGGAACTTTTATTCCATAGAACTGGAATCAGCACTATGCAGCTTTTGCAAGAGTTCATATTTCACTGGCTGTCCACTGGTTGCAAAAACAATTATTGATAGGCAGCTTAAATTTCAATTAAACTATTATTGGGGTAAAATACACATACAGTGCCTTCAGAAAGTATTCATACCCCTTGACTTATTCCACATGTTGTTGTGTTACAGCCTGAATTCAGAAAGGATATATTTTTTTTTTCTCACCCATCTACACACACCCCATAATGACAAAGTGAAAACATGTTTTTAGAAATGTTTGCACATTATTGAAAATTAAATACAGATATATAATGTACATAAGTATTCACACCTCTGAGTCAATATTTTGTAGAAGCACCTTTGGCAGTGATTACAGCTGTGAGTCTTTCTGGGTAATTCTCTAAGAGCTTCCCACACCTGCCACTTATTATTTTCTAAATTCTTCAAGCGCTGTCAAATCGGTTGTTGATCATTGCTAGACAACCATTTTAAGGTCTTTCCATATATTCTCAAGTAAATTTAAGTCAAAACTGTAACTCGGCCACTCAGGAACATTCACTGTCTTCTTTGTAAGCAATTCCAGTAGGGCTGAACGATTAATTGCATTCGCGATAATATCGCGATTTGACTGAACGCGATTTTCTAATCGCAACGTGCGCGATTTGAGGTGGTCACGTGACGCGACTTTTCATGCTGTCCAGCGCAATGGCCTCTTGCTCGACGGAACAGTCAGAAACTGACACAGCTGAAACTTTAATATCGAAGAGGAACAGCACGTCGGTGGTGTGGAACTATTTTGGTTTTAAAAAAGAAGATGCTGAGCAGCGTCAGGTGTTGTGCAGAGCATGCCGTGCTCCGATTGCTACTTCACGGGGTAACACTACAAACCTGTTTCAGCACTTAAAAAAATACCACAAATCAATGCATGACAGTTGTATGACCAAAATGCCGAGCATCAGTGCGCGAGACAAGCCAAATACCTCAAGACAGGGATCACTGACAGAAATGTTCGAAAGTGTCACTCCGTATGAACGTAATTCAAAACGGCACGGAGAAATCACTCGGACAATAACCGAGTTCATAGCCAAAGATATGATGCCTCTCAGCACGGTGACCAAGCCTGGGTTCATGGCATTAATACATACGCTTGATAAACGTTACAGTATACCCTCCCGCACATACTTCAGTCAGACTGCCATACCGGAGCTGTACAAAAAGTGCAAAGAGAAAGTCGCCGCGGAACTTAAAACGGTGGAGTTTTTTGCTAGCACTACTGATATGTGGTCAAGCCGCACAGCTGAGCCGTACCAGAGTCTTACAGTCCATTTTATTGATGAAGATTTCAACCTCCGAGCTCGCTGCCTACAAACTACCTACTTCCCAGACGATCACACAGGGGAAAATATTGCAGCCGGCCTGAGAGAAGGGCTTGTCAGCTGGGATCTCCACGAGGAGAATCACGTCTGCATCACGACGGACAACGCGTCGAATATGGTGCTTGCTGCGCGGCTTAATGAATGGACGAGGCTCCAATGTTTTGGCCACAGATTACATCTTGCCATTGGTAAGTTATCGTGTGTGTGTGTGTGTGTGTGTGTGTGTGTGTGTGTGTGTGTGTGTGTGTGTGTGTGTGTGTGTGTGTGTGTGTGTGTGTGTGTGTGTGCGCGAGTGCGAGAGAGAGAGATGCGTCGATTAGTAAAGCTGAATATACAAATATATATAAATGATATTATATAAATCGGATGGGATTAAATAAATTCATACTTCCACTCCTTTTCTAATATGTAAATTCATTTTACTTGCTTATATCATATGTCTGTCTGTGGTGGAATGCCCACCTGCATTTTTTTTCTTTTCTTGTTTTTGTTTTTTACATGTTTTTTTAGTGTTTATGAGAGAGAGAGAGAGAGAAAGAGAGAGAGAATTGACATGCAAATAAAGACCCTTTGAATTGAGAGAGAGAGAGAGGATGTGTTGTGGATGTGTGTATTTCAGAATTACAGCTAATTTGAGTGTGTAATAGTGAGAGCCTTGTATCAAAACTCAAATTGTGTGTAATACACTACTTTTTATTTCTTTTAGAAAATGCACTCAAAGATGACAGAGTGTCAAGGGCAACAGCACTGTGCAGGAAGCTGGTGGGGCACTTTTCCCACAGTTGGAAGAAGAAAGCAGCCCTGACGGAGGCACAGAGAGAGCTCAAACTCCCTGAGCACAACCTCATAACGGAGTGCCCAACAAGATGGGGTTCTAAAGAAATGATGATTGCCAGAGTGCTTGAACAGGCCAAAGCCATTTCTCAGGTATTGTCTGGAGATCGATATGCACGCTCCCTTATCCCAACCTGGCAGGATATTGACGTGTTGGAGTCGATTCACAAGGCACTGCATCCTCTACTGGAGTTTACTGATGCTCTTTCTGGAGAGGAGTATGTAAGCATCTCCTACCTCAAGCCAGTTCTCCACCTTTTTGCCACATCAGTCCTGGCTGAAGATGCTGAGGACACTGACCTGACTAAATCAATAAAAACCAAAGTCCTAGCATACCTCAATAACAAATATGGAGACCCAAACATCCAGGAGCTTTTGGATGTTGCCTGTTTCCTGGACCCTAGGTTCAAAATACAGTACATCAGTACAGACAACATCCCTGCTATCAAGACTCGTCTGAAGACAGAGATAGTAGACTTGGCACAACGTACATATCATTGGGTAAATAATTATGTATTTCACAAAAACAAAAATTTTCTGTAAAATCTAACTGGAAAACTAATGGCTGTTGTTTTCATCTAATAGGAGAAGAGGTCTCGTACTGAAACTGTTCAGATGCCTCAAAGTGCACAGTCCTTGGGGGAAAAGACGAAGAGGTCTCTTGGCAGTTTTTTCAAGACCAGTTCAGCCTCTCCTTCTTTGCCTGTAAATCTTGAAGATGTCGCAGAGGCAGAGATAAACAATTACCTGATGACTCCTACCATTGATGGAGAAGATGATCCATTGGCTTGGTGGAGGGTGCACAAGATCAGCTACCCACAGTTGTGCACCATGGCACGCAAGTATCTTTGTGTACCTGCTACAAGCGCTCCCTCAGAGCGTCTTTTTAGCACAGGAGGGAATATTGTGACTTGCACTCGCTCAGCCTTGAAGCCAGAAAAAGTCAATATTCTGGTTTTCTTAGCAAAAAACCTGTGAGCCACTGAGAACAGAACTGTTGGATAAGTATGGCTGGCAGTGCCATACTCGTAGTGAACTTTAGTCTGTGTGGTGTGTTATTGTTGTGTACTTGAGATAAGTGAGGCTCATCTATTTTATATTATAATATTCAAATCGTTTATAAAAAATAGTTTGTCTAAATTAAAAGTGCATTTCTCATTTTTTATTTATAACTTTATTTACTTTGATTTTACAAAATATTTTCAAAGCAAATTCCTTGTTTCAGTTGTGTGAAATGTTACTGACTTGGGAGCAGTAAGATACATACAATTTAAAATTATTTTTTTCTTAAGACTGTACCTTTTGCACACAGTGTTTACAAAGTTCATGCCTTTGTTTAAATTATTTAAATGCACAGTGGCAAAGCCACAGATGTTTCTGTAATGAGCAGTTCAATAAAAATGTCATTTATTTCAAGTCATACATGTTTGAATTTAATTCTAACAAATAGACCCAGCCTATGGGAAAGAACATTTCACACTAAATGTATATACTATTGTGTTGGTCATATTTAAATCATTCATTATGTTTTGTAGGGGAAAAAGGATAAATAAATTAAATCGCATATTAAATCGCAATCGCAATATTGGGGGCAAAAAATCGCAATTAGATTATTTTCCAAAATCGTTCAGCCTTAAATTCCAGTGTAGATTTGGCCATGTGTTTTAGGTTATTGTCCTGCTGAAAGGGGAATTAATTTCCCAGTGTCTGGTGGAAAGCAGACTGAACCATGTTTTCCTCTAGGATTTTGCTTGTACTTAGCTTCATTCCCTTTCTTTTTTTATCCTAAAAAACTCCCCAATCCTTACTGATTACAAGCATACCCATAACATGATTCAGCCATCACTATGCTTGAAAATATGGAGAGTGGTACTCAGTAATGTATTGGATTTGCCCCAAACATAACACTTTGTATTCAGGACATTTACTTTAGTGCCTTGTTGCAAACAGGATGCATGTTTTGGAATATTTTTATTCTGTACAGGCTTCCTCCTTTTCACTGACAATTAGGCTAGTAGTTGTTGATCCGTCCTCAGTTTTCTCTTATCACAGCCATTAAACTCTAACGGTTTTAAATTCACCATTGGCCTCTGAGCGGTTTCCTTCCTCTCTGGCAACTGAGTTAGGAAGGACACCTGCATCTTTGTAGTGACTGGGTTTATTCATACAACATCCAAAGTGTAATTAATAACATCACTATGCTCAAAGGGAAATAGTCTTCATTTTTTATTAATTTGTAAAAATAAAAATAAAAATAAATCCACTTTGACATTATGGGGTATTGTGTGTAGGCCAGTGACAAAAAAATCTTTTTTTTTAATCCATTTTAAATTCAGGCTGTAGCACAACAAAATGTGGAAAAAGTCAAGGGGTGTGAATACTTTCTGAATGCACTGTATACATTTCTGGATATGGGCCCAGATCTTCATACAATGATTTCAATTATCCTAATAATGACAATGTTTTGTAGTTTCAGTGTCTTCTATTGCCATGCCAGTGAGTAATGACCAGTCCCGAGGGCCCCTGGCTACAATCGAGGACCATTCACAATACCACCACATGCCTCAGGTGCGTTTTTACTGTCTCTTAAACATTGAATGTAAATGACATGGAATAGGCTGAAATGTCATCTGTATTATTATTTTACAGGAAGACAGAACTGCATTGTCCCTAATCAAGCAGGAAAGAGTGGACAGCTGCGGCGTGGACCTGAAGGTAGAACAAAACATCCGCGCAGAGAGTAGACCCACTGGTAAGTTTCAGTGCAGATACTGATCACACTTATTCACTCACTGTTGAAATACCCAACACGTAGGCTACTACTACCCTTACCTTTAGCTGAAGACAAACTCTTAGGATTTAGTTGAAATCTGAAAAATGTGCCGTGTTAAAAGGCATTAGTTATGTCTGATCATTGTGTTGATCACTCCTTTTTCATCCTTGATGGTAGTTCCAGAACCCAACGACGATGACAGCGAGAGACGTCACATGGCTGACACTCACAGCTCGCCCACTGCAGCCACAGAGGACCCTACTGAGCCACCTAGGACCAGTAGATCCGACGCCATCCTCAAGTCAGAGATGGGGACAGAGGGTGTGAACCAGAGACCCCAGCAGCCAACGGGACCAGATCTTAGCACAGAGATACTGAACAGCCCCGGTTTGGATCTGGCTCTGATGCAGGAGAGGGTCCTGGGGCATCTGGGGCTTTCCTTAGCCCAGGCAGCAGCCGCAAACGCAGAGGCCGCCGGGCATCCATCTTGCTCCTACCAAACCCAGGCTGACGTGGAGAGCCAGTCCAGACAGTTCCCCGGCAGCGATATGGGCGTCTTCGCCCCCTTTGACATGACAGCTCCTCCTCCTCCTGCACCGCCAGCGAATCAGAGGCAGCCGCACGGAGCCGCGACGGCGAACGAGCCAATGGGGTGTAACTTCTGTGGCCGCATCTTCCACAGCCAGGCGTCCCTGGAGGTGCACCAGCGGGTCCACACGGGACAGCGGCCATTCAGCTGCCCACACTGCGGCAAGTCGTTCGCGCAGCCCAACAACCTCCGGGTGCACCTGCTAATTCACAGCGGCGAAAGGCGGTACCGGTGCTCGATCTGCGGGAAGAGTTTCATTTCGTCAAGTCACCTTAAGAGACACAGGACTGTGCACACCCAGGAGAAACCCTACATCTGCTCTCGGTGCGGCCAGTCCTTCACTCAACTCTGCAGCGTCCGGAGACACAGACAGCAGTCACGGTGCGGAGAGCCGCCTCACGCTCAAAACGAACTCTCTGCTTGACTGTAGAAAAGGTGTTGTACAGTATGTGTGTTAGTTGTATCTGAAGTGATTTACACTAGCTATAGGTTTCCTGCTCAAAACATTTAGCCTTTTAGTCTCTTGGATGATAGGTCCACAGATAGAAGTTGAGAAATATATGGTGTTAACTCTAAATTAATATTTACCTAAAGATGACAATGTGACTTATGTGACTGTTTAGTACAATGCATCCCATCTTACCTTGGTCATAAGGCAAGATGGGGTTGTCGCTGGGAGAGGCTTGTTTTTAGAGTAGAGTAGTACTTTATTAATCCCAACTTGGGAAATGGGTTTCATCACTCAGCAGCATCATCATCATCTAATCATTGTACCACTAGAAGAAGTCCAGGAGGACCAAGCAGGACATTACAAAGACCAGTAGATTGGACTGAGCCCTCATCTGACATGGCTGACTTCACTGTGTGACTGAATCACAGGGATGAACCATGCAACTAATAAAAGGTTGCTGACGGGGTCATTTTGGAGACCAATAGGTGTTTATACACTTCCCGCGTTCAACCAGTTAGCAAGTCGGAAATGTGAGTTTTCAGATTCCGACTAGCACATGAACGCGGCAATAGTGAGGTATCACACAGGTGAGAAGCAGTTGGCTGCGTTTACACAGGCAGCCCAATTCTGAAATGTATTTCTCCTAATTGATCTTTTGAACAATCACATGAAATCTTTTCACGTCAGATTTTTTTTCAAAGCAGATCTGATTTGTCAAAAGACCAATTAGTGGGGGGAAAAATATCTGAATTGGGCTGCCTGTGTAAACACAGCCGTTGAGATGCACAGTGTGGACAGTTTACACAATCAGGTATCGCAAGATAAGGGTTAATACATGACAGGAAGTGCAGGTTTATGCTGTCAAATCAAATAAATGTCAATTAAATTCCTGGGAAATGGCCCCCTGGATTGTTTTTTTTCTGCAGTATTTTTATTAATTGCTTACACCACTCCAATCACTTATAGATCTGCTTCCTTGGAAGTAATCACAGCTCTCCAATTGGTTGGATTGCTTATACATATCCAATCAAATCACTGTATGTGCTTACCTCAAGGAAACAATGAAGGAAGGATTCATTATGTAACCAAATCCCTATCGCGGAAATTCATCATTACAGCATGATTGAAATTTAAAGGCAATGTTCCCGCGTTAATGGAGACTGCATTCACTGTAAACGTTGCAGATGTCGGCGCAATATGAAAAAACATTTACATTTCTGCTTCGGCAACACAGATTGAATAGAGCCCCTAGACCAGGGGTCTCCAACACGTATATCGCGAGCTACCAGTAGCTCGTAGCCCGTCAAGCAATTCTGAAAGTACATCAATTTTCTGCATGTGTTCCATCGCAAACTGTCATAAACATAAAGCTCCCAGCTACTGTCCAATCAAAGGCACATTCACATTATCCCACCCCTGGTTTGCCACTATTGGCTAAAAAATACAAAACGTAACACAATATCTGCCAATTAATTTCCAGAAATAATTTTTTCAACACCTCAAAATTGGTCTTCTGATGTGATTTGAGGATTGTTCGTTGTTTCTCTATGAATAATTCTAATATTGAGTAAAAACCAAACAAAAAAATACTTGGTATATTGACAGAAAACGTATATCTTGTACACCAAGGACCTGGGGAAGAGTTGCAGGGTAGAGGAGAACAAAATAATGTGCTAAGTATCTATTAAGTATCTATCATGCTAGAAAAGGTTGGAGGCCCCTGCCCTAGACTGCGGATTATACCATGTGTTTACGGTAAATTAAAATGTATGTAACCACGTCATTATTCAGCGACACCGACTATGGCTATTATTGTAATTCATGAAAATAATCATTAGCTTTTTGGTCTGAATTTAAGGTTAGCAGTGTGGTTAATGTTAGGGTAAAGGTTTAAAATCAGATTTTAAGAAGATAAATTGTAGAAATAGGCGGGGTTTAGCCATAAAGTGTCATCCAAGTGGGGTGCTTCATTTTGGTAGTAGTGAAGGAGTAGCTAGCTACCTACTACGGATTCCATGGACTGCAGTGGTTTAGCTCAAACGTAATCTGATTTGAGTTCTACTACGGAAAAGACAGACAGCGAGACACCTTGATGAGACCGCGCTTCCTGCCTGCCTACGGACTTTCTCTCCCCGCTTGACCACCTCCCTCAGATGACCACTTAAACCATGAACTTTCTAATAACTCTAAATTACAGTATTTGTCTTTTTTGTGTGTGTTTTGAAGCACTTTGAGATTCTTTCAAAAAGCGCTATATAAGTAGAATACATTATTTATTATTATGACTGTGGCTGTGGTAACTAACTTTAGTGACGACCCATGTAAACAATCAACAGTCTACTTTTGTAAGGTTTTTCAGCCAAACAAGACAGGTTTCATTCATATTCATAAGCTGATTGTTTGGTAACGTTATTTCGACGTTCAGATGGAATCACGTTCTGGCTATATCGGGTTCAGACAGCATTTTGCAACACAGGTAGTGTCGATCATGGAGATGTTGAGCGAAACTGCCGCAGCAGAAATCTGCAAGCTCTTTGAGGATGGCTACTCCACTTTATATTTGGAAATAACGCAACAAATGACTCAAGAAATACAATACATCAAGAGATAATACAATGCTATGAAAGAAGAATTAAACATGAATGGAATGACTACTTGCCACACAGCCAGAGTGACAACACCAACAGGTAGGTTAGCAGACTAAACTAAATTCTTCTTCGATGAGTTTTAACGGCAGTTAAAGGTGGCGGTAATGTTGCATTACCGCCACCTACTAGACTGGAGTACAACTCCCTTATACTTTACTTGAAAAAAAAGTAATAAAAATACCCTACCATCTAACACTACACTCACAAAAAATAAATTAATAATAATATTATTATTATAATAAAATAACACCACCCTACTCCACTATTTAAATCTATTTAGTCCTACCTCAGGTCAACAACCTGAAAGGATGGGACACCACCACTTAACACACCCTGTAACTTTTACATTTACATTTACGTCATTTAGCAGACACTCTTATCCAGAGCGACTTACAAATTGGTGCATTCACCTTATAGCCAGTGGGATAATCACTTTACAATATTTTTCTTATTTTTTTTTTTTCTTTCTTTGGGGTGGGGTAAGGGGGGGTAGAAGGATTACTTTATCCTATCCCAGGTATTCCTTAAAGAGGTGGGGTTTCAAGTGTCTCCGGAAGGTGGCGAGTGACTCCGCTGTCCTGGCGTAGTGAGGGAGCTTGTTCCACCATTAGGGTGCCAGAGCAGCGAACAGTTTTGACTGGGCTGAGCGGGAACTGTGCTTCCGCAGAGGTAGGGGGGCCAGCAGGCAAGAGGTGGATGAACGGAATGCCCTCGTTTGGGTGTAGGGACTGATCAGAGCCTGAAGGTACGAAAGTGCCGTTCCCCTCACAGCTCCGTAGGCAAGCACCATGGTCTTGTAGCAGATGCAAGCTTCAACTGGAAGCCAGTGGAGTGTGCGGAGGAGTGGGGTGATGTGAGAGAACATCAGACGGGCTGCGGCATTCTGGATGAGTTGTAGGGGTTTAATGGCACAGTCAGGGAGCCCAGCCAACAGCGAGTTGCAGTAATCCAGACGGGAGATGACAAGTGCCTGGATTAGGACCTGTGCCGCTTCCTGTGTAAGGCAGGGTCGTACTCTCTGAATGTTGTAGAGCATGAACCTACAGGATCGGGTCACCGCCTTGATGTTAGCGGAGAACGACAGGGTGTTGTCCAGGGTCACGCCAAGGCTCTTCGCACTCTGAGAGGAGGACACAACGGAGATGTCAACCGTGATGGCGAGATCATGGAACGGGCAGTCCTTCCACGGGAGGAAGAGCAGCTCCATCTTGCCGAGGTTTAGCTTGAGGTGGTGATCCGTCATCCACACTGATATGTCTGCCAGACATGCAGAGATGCGATTCGCCACCTGGTTATCAGAAGGGGGAAAGGAAAATATTAGTTGTGTGTCGTCTGCGTAGCAATGATAGGAGAGGCCATGTGAGGATATGACAGAGCCAAGTGACTTGGTGTATAGCGAGAATAGGAGAGGGCCTAGAACTGAGCCCTGGGGGACACCAGTGGTGAGAGCACATGGTGCGGAGACAGATTCTCGCCACGCCACTTGGTAGGAGCGACCGGTCAGGTAGGACGCAATCCAAGAGTGAGCTGCACCTGAGATGCCCAACTCGGAGAGGGTGGAGAGGAGGATCTGATGGTTCACAGTATCAAAGGCAGCAGACAGGTCTAGAAGGACAAGAGCAGAGGAGAGAGAGTTAGCTTTAGCAGTGCGGAGAGCCTCCGTGACATAGAGAAGAGCAGTCTCAGTTGAATGACCAGTCTTGAAACCTGACTGGTTTGGATCAAGAAGGTCATTCTGAGAGAGATAGCAAGAGAGTTGGCTAAAGACGGCACGCTCAAGAGTTTTGGAGAGAAAGGGAAGAAGGGATACTGGTCTGTAGTTGTTGACATCGGAGGGATCGAGTGTAGGTTTTTTGAGAAGGGGTGCAACTCTCGCTCTCTTGAAGACTGAAGGGACATAGCCAGCGGTCAAGGATGAGTTGATGAGCGAGGTGAGGTAAGGGAGAAGGTCACCGGAGATGGTCTGGAGAAGAGAGGAGGGGATAGGGTCAAGCGGGCAGGTTGTGGGGCGGCCGGCCGTCACAAGTCGCAAGATTTCATCTGGAGAGAGAGGGGAGAAAGAAGTCAAAGCATAGGGTAGGGCAGTGTGAGCAGGACCAGCAGTGTCATTTGACTTAACAAACGAGGATCGGATGTCGTCAACCTTCTTTTCAAAATTGGGGGGGGGGGGGGGGGGGGGGATTCAGCAGGGAGGAGGTGGTGGCAAAGAGCTTCCTAGGGTTAGAGGCAGATGCTTGGAATTTAGAGTGGTAGAAAGTGGCTTTAGCAGCAGAAACAACTCTTCTGATGTCAAGTCTCGCACACGCAAATACCTCTCTGCAGTTGCCACCACAACCTCCATTTTCTGTGACTTATGTTCCATCCCTGCAGTAAAGATGATAACCATTGCTATACAAGCTAAAAATCCCATCTTACTGAAACATAAATCACTTGTTGGCCTATCCCTCTGTACTGGTACAGATCTACTACTCACACCACTCCTCTCAGGATCCCTCCCCCTTGACACATCTTCCTCTACTTTCTTCACTACCTCAGCATATGACAACTTCTTCACTACTCTTACCCTGGAAACCTCCACCTGCCTCTCTTGCACGAGACATTTCTGGTCCCCAGCCCCATGGGCACCCCTACAATTAACACATCCCACTACTTCCCCCAATGCTACACATTCCTTTGTCTCATGCCCTTCTGCACACTTCTCACACCTAGGAACCTCCCTCCTACACACTGCTGCCACATGCCCATAAGCTTGACACCTGTCGCAACGTAATGTATTCGGCACAAAAGCTCTTACAGGATAACTTACATATCCTAACATCCCTTTGTCGGGCAAAGACTCAAAATAACAGACAATGACTCTTCTGTTTCACCACTCACACCACCCTGTCTGCGTCGCACCAAACGATGAGCATCACAAACACCGGGAATCTTCCCTTTCAGATGGTCAACTTTTACATTTACTGCTACCCCAGTAATCACTCCTTTCAATGGCGCCCTTTTCTTGAGCGCAAAACAATTCACATCTCTTGGCCCCATTCGTTTAACGCGGAGCGCCTGCTCCCTCTGACGAGCAGACCAAACTAAATTCCCAGATTTACAATGGAGTTGAGCGGCGACGTCACATAAAATACGTTTTTATCAAAAACAAAGAATTCCGAGTCCGTAAGGGAGTTGCAGCGATGGGACAAGACTGTAACTACCAATTGGATATCACCAAATTGGGGAGAAAAAGGGGTAAAAAAAAAAAATGATTTCAGCATACAAAGTAAATGCGGGCTATTCTTTGGGTGATAAAATGCGCAGACTGGTCTCATAGACTAGACGTAACAAAGTAAACTTAAATCCGGGTCACTCAAATTTGTATGATATGTTACATTTGGTATGGTTACATAAGATAGATTACTTAAGGCAAAAACGACAAGGTTGCTTGTTCAAATCCCTGAGCCGGTGGAAAAATCTGCCGTTTTGCCCTTGAGCAAGGCAGTTAGTTCCCCCCACAACAACTGCTCCCCGGGCGCAGATGATGTGGACGCCGATTAAAGCAGCTCCCCGCACCTCTCTGATTCAGAGGGGTTGGGTTAAATGCGGAAGACACATTTCGGTTGAATGCATTCAGTTGTGCAACTGACTAGGTATCGCCTTTCCCAAAGGTAGCATGTTCGAATTTCATCACAGGCAACTTTAGCTACTTTGCAACTACTTAGCATGTTAGCTAACCCTTCCCCTATAACCTAACTCCTAACCTTAACCCCTAGAGCTAGCTAAAGTTAACCACAACGAATTGGAATTCATAACATATACGTTTTTCACATTCGTAACATATTGTACAAATTGCAATTCGATGTGCTGAGTGATTATTGCTTTTTGAGGTCGTTTTGGTTATTAGAAAATAGTCACGGTTCAATTTCGGTTTTGCATATTTTTTTAAACATTAAATTCATTATGAAATAATGACACCCACAAATCTGATAATTTCCATTGGTCAGGTGGTTTGAAGTTGTAGTGCCGCAAGTGGTTCCCGGATATAGACAGCTGCCAAAAGCACCAGGCGGTGCGGCACTGTGTGACCAACACCAATGCTAACCTTCTTAGCTGTGAGCTGTGTGGAAAGTTGTTCGCTCTAGCCTGTCATCTGAACAGACACAGACAGA